TTATTCTTAAGGTCCAATTAAATTGTTTTTTATTTTCTTCTTTGTTTTTTTGTAAGCAATCATAATTGTTATTTTGTAAATGTACAATAGGATTTTTTTAGTTATATCATTTGTATTTTTGGATTTTTAAATTGTTTGGAATTATTCAAAAATATATATATAGACCCATTTTTAAAAAAATGTAAGCCCAATCTTATTTGATTTAGTTGAAGCAAAACATATTTATATACCCAATAAAATAGCTCAAATTTTCAGATTGTTTCCTAGTATTATATATCAAACCTGCCGACAAAAAAAATATATCAAACCTAATTTTCAATTATCTAATCATATACCTCTATATATATTTTGTAACACTCTATTTTGATGGTTTTTATTTGTACAATCATTCAAAAATTTGAAACATCTATTTCTAATGCAAGATTTGTAATGCTCACTTTTTTTTTTTGTAACATTCAATGTTATATTGCCACAAAATTGTATCATTTGTAAAGTAGTACAATTCCTAACATCACTTTATAGTGTAACCAATAACTAATTGAAGCTGTTACTCTCCTTTTCTGGATTTCATTATTTCCAATGACAGTTTTGAATTTGATTTGTCAATTTTGGATTATTGGAAACCTTAGCCACAAAGCATATCAATTTTGTAAATTCATACACTTTTGCAAAAAAAAAAAAAAAAAGGAACTTCAAAATGCTTATTCCCACGTGGAGGGAGAATCAGAGGATCGCTGTCAGCCTCCATTTCAGTGGAATCCAATGATCACGAGTCAACCTTCATCACTAAGTTTCAAAACACCGATAATCGAAAAGGTACACCGATTATTCCGTGAGCCTTACCTTACTGTGCAGCTGCTGTATACTGCCTCGTGACCTCAGGTGTACTAGTAGTATCTAAGGCTAGCGTAAATCTTTACCATTTTTTATGGATCATCATATAAGCATGCACATGCACTATACTAATGACATATTTATAAATCTCAAGCTGTATGTAGGGATTTCAACCATCAAACAATAAACGTGTCTGTATCGTAAGATTATCACAACAACTAATGTCGACATCACAGTTTGCTATCATTTGCATCATTCTGATTGCTTTATTTCCTCTTCGCGAATGTGTGCAAATATAATTTTCTCTCTTCACCATTTATCATAATCACCATTGCAATCATATAATTGTTGTTACTTCTTTTTTTATAGGTGAAAAAGGTCATCAAGATCTTGAAGTGAGCAATGCATCTCAACCACCTTGCATTTCAGTCAATTGCGACGCTAAAGACAAGAATCGCACTTGTGCTTGTTGTATTTCCAAAGCTGGGAACAAATGTTACAATAGCAAAGCAGAATGTACGAAAGCGTGCAAGGCGTAATTTAACTCAAGATCTACATCAATTTCTTTTTTTTTTTAAAAACCTTATCAACATCTACTTAATGCATAATGTTTACTTACGTATGAATAATACGATATTTGGAGTCCAACAACTACAATGTAAACCTATTGTATAATCTGTATCTGTGTTTAGGGACTAAAAGTCTATGTAATGCTAATTTTTTTTTAAACATTTTTATAATTATTTTACAAAAACTCAATATATTGACGTAACATCACTAAAAAAGTTCAAAATATATTCGTTAGATACAAAAACTGTTTAAATTGAGTATACTAATTTACTTTAGCATTCTTAGATATTCAATTGCATTCATATTAAAAATAAGCTGAAAATTAATTATAAATTTTTTATGATCAACTTACATATTTACAACACAAATTTTATTGTTACTTATAATATTATTAGCATACACATAAAATCAATTAAGCTACTAATATTTTCAATAATTATAAAATCATATTTAACAAAATAGTTTATAGATTTTTCATTTTATGCATGGAACCTAACTATTATTAAAAAAAAAAACATATATACAAGAAAAGTTTTTCAATCATCAATTTAGAAAGTTCATCAGTTACTCCGATCGAGGTTCCGATTTTGTAAAGCTTTAAATCTTGTGATTTTTAGATTGGCTTGGTTTATATTTCTATTATTTATCATGATAAAAATAAAAATATACAAAAATATTTTAAAAAAAAATTTCAACTAAGAGTTGTTTCTTTTGTTAAAGATTAATCAAACTAAAAGTTAATCAGCTAGCCCAACCTCTATTTTGATTTTGTTAAAAATCAGATCCGAACGTATCTGATTACTAATAAGCTGCATGGAATCAGAAGCGGGTGCGCGGAAACGGAAGCATTTAGAAGCGTTGAAGCGATTTTTTTTTTAAAAAGAAGAAGCAGGTACGTATTAGAAGCGTATATATATATATATATATATTATGTGTAAATACTAAATACTAAATATAAAATCATAATAATAGAAAAAGTTTTAAGTTTTAACCAACAAAATCCAATACTCTAAAATATAAATTAAATATTATAAATAAAAATAAAGCTTAAAACGATAAAATCACAGACTGGAACTGTCATCCTCAATCTCATTTTTATCAACTCCATCAAATTGAAACTGTCGATACACATTACAACACCAAGCAACAGTACCAGCTAAATACAAACAAGCCACTGAAACGACAATGAAGAAACTAACCAGAGAATGTAGACGAAAGGGAGAGAGAGGAAGAGAGAAACGAGCAGTGGAGCAGCTGAGAAGAAGCAGAGGCGGAAGTGGACGAGTTGAGAGAGAACGGGCTCCGTCTCGAACCAGCATGCAGAGAAATCGAAGCGGAAGGAACGCTGACTTTCCCGTTCGAAGCAGGATGCCATAAACGCGACGGAGCCCAAGCTACAACAGAGGTGGATAAGGAAGCCATTGCAATTTCCGTTGTTAATTTAACAATTTAAAAACCCAAAACAGTTGTTAATTTATGTTTAATTTTGATTAAACGTGAACCAACGCTTCCGATAACTCCGGCAAAACTTCTTATTCAGAACCGCTCGCTTCCACCACGCTTCCAAATGCCTTGTTTCTGGAATCGCGCTTCCGCCACGTTTCCACTAGATTCCGAACGCTTCCATTTCCACTTCCGATTCCGGAGCGAGAAACGCCTCACCAGCCAGGCTTCCATGCTACGTAGATTACTATGTGGCCTTACAAGTTAAACATGTAATTAGGCAACCAAATAATCTTTCTCATGTTCTAGAGTATAGTTTTCAAATTATTACCATTATTTATCATATCATAGTATAACATTATACATATATATACCTTTTTTGAACTTTATATAAATAAATATAAAATTTCATAACATTAAGAGCATGTTATATTAGTTTGAGTTTGGAATACCACCAGCATCTTCAATTTGATGACAGAATGAATAAACGGTTGAATAATTATTTCATATTTCGCTATATATTTAACCCCCCCTTTGCTATTATACAATCGTCAAAAAATACAACCAATCGAAAATTAGCATAAAAATTTGAAAGTAGAATTTAGAATCAAAATTGCTCAACATTGGAACTATGTTTCTTTGAATTAGAAATACTGTATCATGTTTTAACACTAAAATTTTACAGAAATAATTTTGTGTAAAAAGTCAGAAACATTAACTATGAAAACACAGTTAAATCCACATTTTACAATGAGGTGACGCATGTGAGAGTTAAATAATGATTTCTTTTGGAGTTTTTTTTTAATCAAAATTTGTTTTGGAATTTTGACGAGTTTTTTTAATGAGCAACTCATTTCTATGATTGAAAAAATCCTCCACATGACCTTTGTACAAAATTGTTTTACATCAATTCTGGCACATGTGTGGATTTGAATGTCTGAAATAATGTTAATAAAATTTATATAAAGCAAATCTGTTTTTCAAATATAAATTTGTGTATATAACATATCAGCTAGAAGTTTTTCACCAAAAACAGATTACAATTTATATTTTTTGTGATCTTGACTAGAAAGAATATAGTAGAAATTTTATAAATTAATAAATTTGAAAAATCAATAATTATATTTGATCCTAAATTCTTAATCAATAGTTATTAAAATCTATAAATTAATAATTCAATAAATCATTAATTTTGTCTAATTCTAACATTATTAAATTAGAAAATTTCTATTATAACTAAAAATAACTGAATTAGTTTTCTGAAACCTGCTCATGAAAGTTTTAATAACTTACCAAATTTTTGTATATGACATGTCAGCTAGAGTTTTTTCACTTGAACAAACCACATTTTATATTTTTTGGTGATGAATTAGCTAGAAAGAATAACTAAGAACAACTGGATTAGTCTTCTAAAATCTGCTCACAAAAAGTTTAAATAAGTTACCAAAGTGAAAATTGCATAAACGCTCTAATATGTGTTTTTCTTCCTTCCTTTCCTTTCAATGTATTTTTTTTTTTTTATAAAAATCTTTCAATGTATTTGCGACATAATCTATTACACTTGCTTTGCTTTAGAGTAGTATAGAGGTTATTCTCTTTTTCCGTATTTCATCATTTCCCTATTTTTAATGACAGTTTTTATTTGCCAATTTTGGATTATTGTAAACCTTACACTTGCTTTAAAGTAGTAACGTTACTCTCCTTTTTCCGTATTTCATGATTTCCCTAATTTTAATGACAGTTTTTATTTGCCAATTTTAGAATATTGTAAACCTTAGCCACAAAGTATGGCAATTTTGTAATTTCATACACTAACTTATTCCCCACGTGGGGAATCAGAGGATCGCCGTCAGCCTCCATTTTACTGGAGAATCCAATGATCACAAATCAAGCTACCTCACAAAGTTTCAAAACACACCGTTAAGTAAACGTGTCACACGATAATCGGAAAGGTACACCGATTAATCCGTGAGCCTTAGCTCACGTGATCCCTGTTTCTTGATCTAATAAACCGTGTAAGAAAAATAATCGGTATTGAAAAACCGAAAATACCCTTTATAAAGCCAGCCGAAAAAGACCAAACCACGATCATAAAAATTAAAATTTTTAGTTTGTTTATTCACTATAAAGTGTCTTAACTCTCTTAACGCGTTAAACAATTAAAAAAAAAAAAAAAAACAAGATTATATATAAACTGATCGAGGGAGCTTATCTTCTTCCTTAATTATTTTCCTTTTTCTCTCCTAATTTAATTTCATTTTTTCAATCTAAGATTCTCTGATAAGATTTAAACAATCTTTTGATTGTTCTGTTTTTCTCTCCTTTAAATCTATCTTGGATATTGCTTCCTGTAACATTTTATCTGAAGTAATGGCTTTATCGAGAGAAAGATTTGTAATTAGTTCCAGTTGCAGTAAATTTAACGGTGAGGATCAAGGTTTTGAGTTAGAGTTTGTGAGGTTTACAAGAGGATTAGGAAGAAAAAGGATTCTGATTTCGAAATCGATTCAAGAAACCGTTTCAAATTCCGATCAAGCTTCGCCGCCGGTCAAGATTCTGTTGAAGAGACTTAAAAGTGAAACGACGGAATCCAATACGTCTGTTCTTGAATCTCTGCATCAAGATATTTTGGTAAGTTGATTCAAAAATCTCATTTCTCATTTGGTTTTACGATTTCTTGATGTTTGTGAAACTTCTGGTTTTGCTAAATTAGTTTGGTTGAATTTATTATAGCGTTGATTTTAATTGATTCTGTTAAAATCAATTTCGCAGATTCGAGTACTTTGTCATGTGGATCACGAGGACCTAGCGACATTAAAACGTGTATCTAAAACAATAAGAAAAGCTGTAAGTTCCATTTGTAATCTTCCAAATTTTAAAACTATAATCTTTCTAATTAAGCAAATATTGATGGTTTATTTTTTTCTTATTCATGATTTTAGGTATTAGAAGCAAAGAAGTCGCATTTTGATTATAGCACACCAAAAAAGGCTCTGTCTTTTCGAGACCCATTGTTAATTATCGAGGAAGATTCGAATTCGAGTGATCAAGATGATGAAGTAGAGCCTCCTAATGCACCAATTCGAAGAAAGATTCTTAATCGTGAATCAGACTTGTCGAAGATCTCTATGGTATTATTTAAATGAGAAAGAAAGATAACAAAAAAGGAGGATCAACAGCTAATTGTGCACAGACGCAAGAAGAAAGAAAAACAAAAAGATAGAGAGAGTTATAGAGAGAGTTTGCTTTTGCTTCCATGATTCATGTGAATATTAACCATTATTATTTGCAGACTTTGTAGGATTAGTTTATTATTTGAAAAAATAATTTTGTTGGGTTGTGATTCAGAGTATCCGAAGTAATTTGATTTTGTCTTTTTTCAATTAAAATTAATAAGATTCTGTTTAATTCTGTTATTTCTTGACTTTTATCATTTATATATATAATAAACACAGTACTGACTGGATCTGAAAATTTGTTTATATGAATAAAACGTGTCAGACTAAATTATTATGCAGACTTTAAACTATATATGAATATATTCATATTCACTACACAGCTCAAAATGGATTTTCTTATATTCAATAATACATTTGCTCTCCACATGTGGGTTGTAGAAGGGAAATAGGAAAAATGAGTGGTGAATTCTATAAAAAAATAGCCAAAAAGTCTTGACTCTTTTTTTATAATATGTACAAACCACACCGACAGCTACTTCTACTTCTGGAAAGTTGTAAAATTATAGACTTATAGACCCATGATCTCTCTTTCTTTTAAATGTGTGTGTCATGTTCGAATTTTTTTGAGTTTGATATAGAACCATCCATTCTTCTTTCTCCAGGTTAAAAAATGCTATTAAAAGGGGCTTTAACCCGACCAACGTGGTTTGAGCCTGAACCATACACAATCCGTTAATCATTTTGTGGAACTCAAGTAAACGTGAGTTTGTGGTTTATATTTATCTTCTAAGAGATGTAAATGAAAAAATGGGATTGTAAAAATGCATTAAAAAACCTTGAAAGTGGCACGCACTATTATTTTAAACCTCAAAAGTATTTTATTAATATTTTAAACTTTTAATCAAACTTTATTAGTAGAAAAACTTTATGACTTCTGATAGAATAGTAAATTCTGTAAATAAAATATCTTTTGATTTTGTGACTTTTCGAAGTGATTGACTAAACATTAAAAAAACCAAAGCTATTATCGGTTCAAAAAGTACATATATCACAATTAATAGTTATTCTGAGTTTATTACTTTGTTCAAATTTTTGTTTAATCATTATATATATTTGTTTAGAGTGATTATAATTTTAATTTCTTAATTTTTAGTAAGTTACTTTGAAAACCGTAAAATATGAAGGTATTTTATTAATAGAGTTTACTATTCCGTCTAAAATTCTGAAGTTGCAAAAGTGGAAGCCACTTTGAAATTTTTTTCTCTTAATAAAATTTGGTTGATAGTTTAAAATGTTAATAAAATACCTCTGAAGTTTAAAATATCGGTACATATTACTTGTAGAGTTTTTTATGTGTTTTTACCAAAAAAATTTTGTTCAAACGAAAAAATGAGATTGTAAGAAGAATCTTTTGAGGCATTTTTACCTTGCACATCCATAACCCAATTAGTAATAATATGCCTTATATAAAACAATTAAGTGTAAAATTATGGAATATGTTTTTGTATCAATCTCAAGCGACGATAATTAATTATGGAATTATGGGTTTCGAAAAGACAAAAATTAATAATTTTGTAGTACATACTATGAAGTTCTTGTAGTACATACTAGAAAATTTTAATTGCTTTATATAGATCCAAACGTTAAAAGATTTAATATAACTCAACTAATATTCTTTTTTTTACGTTGGAGTGTGTAAGTTAACAATGTCTATTTTGAGAATGCCATTAATATATTAAATTAATTTTTAACGTTTTATAATCATATTACAAAAAAAAAACTTACAGCTATTGTTATATTTGTTATTGTTATTGTTAATTTGTTATGTAAATAACCTTTTTTCAAACATAACAAAACGAAAAAAGAAAGGTATTGAAAAGAAGACTTGAGAATCATATATACAGTAAAACCTCTATAAATTAATAATGTTGAGACCACAAAAAATTATTAATTTATAAAATTAATAATTAATCGATAAATTAATAATTTTATTAATTTATAGAGAGATATTTCGGTTCAAATCCAAAATATTTGTCAAAAAAATAAAAAATGTTTTTAACAATGTAAAATTTATTCAGAAAATATCATATCAATGAATTTAAAAAATAAGTCAAACAATTTTTATAAACTTAAAACAATAATATAATTATATTTTACTATATTATATTATTTATATATGCTTAAATATATAATTATTAATTTATATAATTATTGGGACTATATTTTAACATAAGAGTTTCAAAAAATATATTATGATATTATCTTATCGAAATTTGCTAATTTTTATATTAGCCCAACTTTAAACTAGTAAAAATTATTAATTTATAGTGATTATTAATTTATCGAATATGAATTTATAGAGATCGTAGGTATAGGTATGCTGAGTGGGTCAATCTTCAACTAACAATGTTTTGGTGACCCAACAAGCAGCTCTCACTATCAGATTTGATAGTCTTCTTGATTATTCTTTAACTTTAGTAGTAACTACTGACCCACCAATCTCATTATCTTCCACTAATCTACCGAGTAATCTATCAGGATTTAGCCAAGTGTCACCTCCTTAGATTATTTATTTTTCTTAATTATTGTTAAGTTACAACTTTTTCATTTTTGGGTGCAAATTGTTATGTTACAACCACAATAAAGAAATACCATTGAAACGTGTGTAGTAGACAAATATATACCAACTAGTTGACAAATAAATACCAACTAAAAATTCTACTCTATTTTTTTCTGAGAAATAATATACTAAAATTTTGGATGGTCAAAGAGAAAAAGATTTCAACAAAAATCAATTTTTGGCATCGATAAAACAAAGAGAAAATGTTATTATGCTATCATCACATGAGTAATATTACTCATGTTTAGTGTCAGTCACTAACTCTTTTTCAGTTTCTTAAGTTAAAGAGTAATTGAAAGTATATAATCTATGTTAAGCGATATTAGTGAAAGTAATAGAATTTGTTGGGAGACTATAGGAGCTGTTGGAACAGGAGAATTAAGCTGGAATGTAATTTGAAATCCGCATTGCTAAGATTACTTTTCATTAATTCTCAGAAAAGTATATCCCCTTTAAAATTGTTGGAGGAAGATATATTCAATTGAGAGTATAAAAATGAAGAAAAAAAGAAGTCATGAAGATAATTTTAAAATACTGTATGAAATGAGTGTTTTCTTAAGGTTAGCTGCAGAAAACATTATATCGTACAAAAAAGAGTTGCTGAGTTTCGATCTTCTTAAGCGAATAGAAGGTTAATTAGTAACGTGGTGGTTGTGTAACCTCGTCTAATTGCTTTTGTTGTCTTGTTGTTTGTTTTTACAATAAATTCGTTGAAACAAATCCAAACATCGAGTCAACGAATTGTATAATTAAGTTAAAAAGTAGTGTTTCTTCGTTTTAACGCATGCGTCGGAGAAAAGGAACTTCATAGTATGTATTACAAGATTTGCGAAATTTAATAAATTTACAATTTATCACTCGATTAACATGTCTAGGATCTGTGTATCTAATCCAACAACAGAATTGGCGCGACATTAATTTAATCTTCTCTTACCAAACTTTTATTGGGATAATAAGATTTTGTTTTTGTTTCAGCGGGTTAATTAAGCTTTACGAAATGTTAATAAATAATATAGCCTAAAGTGTTCCGAGACTGATTCTTTCTTTCATTGTAGCCTTTGTTGGGGGGGACAAAAACAATCATCACTTCAGTCGCACGTTTAACTAGTTACTAGATTACTACCCGTGGCATGCACGGGTTAAAATTTTACTTATAATTTATTACTGATAATAATTAGATTTGCAATATATTTATGTTGATAAAATGTATTGTTGATATTATATATATTTATTATATAATTTACAAACTTTTTGTTCCTCTTTTTAGAGGTTGTTAAGTTTGATTAAAAAAAATTTAACTTATAATTTGTATTTGATAATAATATGGATGTTTATGTTGGTAAGGTGTATTACTGATATCAGTATAATACATCTACTATATTATTTACAATATTCATGAAATTTTAGGTATTTTTCACATGGATAGGAATTGGATGTTTCATGAAGTTATTTGTAATAATTATATTTGATGTTTAAATGGTTAATTTATATGATTAGTTGTAAAGATTTTGAATTTTGGTAATTATTTTAATGATAAAATTTTAAGATGGACAATCGTTGTAAAAATTTCTAAAATGTGGGTCATGTAAAAACTAATTCAATAAATAAATATAAACTCTTAATCTTATAGTGATATTTTTCGTTTAATATTGAAAATTGTCTTTTAGGAACGAAATCTAAATAAATAAATAAAATTCAAAACTGATATAATGTCGATTTAGTTCCGGTCTACATCTGCAAAAAATTTGCAGAAAAAGTATCCATATTTTTTTTTTCTGTTTGTCGATGATCATATCATTATTTTACACCCAAATCAACATAGCATTTAATTCGTTAACACTACCTAGATCATGACCCTTGAATTAACAGCTTTTTCTGTAGAAACAAAATATAATCGCTCTAAAAGTACATTTCTATATCCAGAGTAATAAAAAAATAAAAGTTTAAATTACATTCAAAATAGACAGAATGGTGTATAAAACTTTGTCATGCTTGAGTCAATGAGCGTGCAGAGAAAGAGTGATGTATCTGCAAAGAAACTGAATTCCCGCCATGCAATAAGAATACTGACCGATAATGATAGATTCTGTAAACAGGGTTTCAAAATGCTCAAGAAAATCTAAAAAATATTCTTATTGATGAACATAAGACTCACCGGAGAGCAACCCGTTTGATTATAAAGGCGAAATGGTGATGGAAAAAGCACAAACAAACCTTCAACAACTAATCCAAGATTTCAAATCCCATTCATGAATGTAATGTCTTTCTCCAAGTTTTTCTCATCAAGCCTTTGGGACCAAATGGTCTTGCGGTGGCTGCATTCAAAATACACGTAAATAATCTATCAGTTGAGAAAGAAAACAATAGAATTGATAAACTATCAACATCATCACTGAAAGACCAATAAAACACTGATGAACAAAACTAAAAGAATCATTGATTAATCTTATTAACGATTTACAAAATCATGAGATGTTAGATAATGAAAAACCATTATCTTACCTCTTAATCTCTCTCCAGATTATGGTGATTATTTTCAACTAAATCCAGCTTTAAAAAACACAAATTTGAATCACTTGCATCATCAGCATCATCATCTTCATAACCCTTGTGATTCTTCACACCAATTCATAGTGATGAATCATTTTCAGTTCGGTCTTTGCGTATTGAACGATGTGGTAACCAACACATAGTCTCTCTTTAAAGACTTTTAAGTCGTATGCCATATTTTCCATCCCCTAACATCCTTTCCTCATGCATGCGCTACCAGTACAAAAGATCAGTTCAATCAAGCAAACAGGGGATGGTTTAATTTTTCTCTGGATCTAGGCTTCATGCAATGGGACAATGTACCCAATCAAGAATATGGCAGAACACTATTACATTAGTATCTGACTATGATCTTTTTGGGTTTGATAAAACAAAAACAAAATTTAACCAAAAAAACGCAAACAAACATGTATTCAACAGAATGAATAGAAGAGATAAATGTTGTGTATATGATTGAATTGATATGTAAATGGAACCTATATATAGTGGCTTAATGGTCATATTTTTTTAACTGGTAAATATATCTTTTAGTTTGTTAATTTGTTAATAGGATTCCGCATATTGGAATGAGGATATGCGATGAATTAATTAGCACGGTTAGATACCATTTATAAAATTATGTGATTAGAAATTACAGTGATGGATTTTCTAGTTAGAATATCCGATGTTTAGAAACAGAAAATTATATTAAATCCGTATCATATTTCTCTTTAAATAGAGTATTACCGGTTTTTTTAAAGATTTTCGATTGAATAGGTAAGATATGATAATTACTAAGAGAATTGGAATAATGTACCATATAATGCGATCTGAATATTTAGGAATTGAACTTTAAATTTATCCGGTTGTTTAGGAAAGAGATGATATAAAGCTTAAAGAAACTTATGTACCATTTATTTAATGATGCAATCCGAATATTTACGGATTGAGAAAACAGTTTTTTGTTAACAAAATAAAGATTTTAAAATTGCGCTATTTAAAAAAATATAAATGTTTGAATGTATAAAAAAATTGATTATATTCTATGATTCTAACATGTACTTAAAAAACATTAAGGGTAACTAATTTGTTTAGAATGAACGTTTGGATGTATACAAAATGATTATACTCTATGAAAAATGTTTTTAAATTGCTGTATGGATTCAAGATGAACAAAAATTAATTTCATATAATTTTTCAAATAATTTTATATACAATTTGTTTGAAAGTTAAAATGTTATTTTAAGATGAAATGTTAGAAGATAATTATGTTAAATTTTAATTTAAAGAGTGTTTGAAAATGTAGATAATAGTATGCAAATTCAAAATTTTAGTAAATTATTTCAAAAATTCGAGTTAAGGAGAAGGTGACATGTGGCAAAATATTTAGTTATCACATAAAATAATGTTTGGATATATAAATAGTAGCAGAAACAAAATAGAATTAATTAAAAGAATTTCTGTTTTAGTTTATATTAGATTAGATATAGTGTTTGGCAATAAGAATAGCCTAATAAATTAATTGAATTTTAAAGTGAGAAAAAGGAGGTAATGACACATAATCTTATAATGCTTCTTAGATATAAGGGTTAATTATTGTAAAATTACATGTATGATGATCATCAACACTTGGTAACCAATTACAATTCTCTAGACCTCTATATACAGCTTCTTCTTCTTCTATCTATTTATTTCCAACTTAGCTTCTTAGAGAATTGGATTAATAATGCATTGGTATTTGTTTTTTAGAATTTTATATGTCTTCATTAAAACCAGGGAACATTTCCTTTTTTATTTGAAAAAAAAATCCTCAAGAAATCCAAAAACTAAAAGTTAAAACCAAAAAAACGTCTAATACTTAGTCTTCCACGAGTCTAGTTTCCCACAAGTCTGACGTCGAGTAACCATTGCAGCGGTGACAATGACAACCAAAACGACCACATTCCACACATATTTTCCATAGACGCCAAGTTTGTGAGACAATGGAATTGGTACGAGTCCTCCGGACCAGAAGATCAGAAATGCCAGTGCAGATACTACAAAGTTACTTATGTCCAGGAATCGCGACAGCTTCTTCAGATCCTTCAGCTGCAATTTTGCTTTGTTAAAAAAAAAAGTATATATCGATACGTTCATTAGACTTCTTTGAGCCTAGGGTTACAAACGAAGTTACCGACTCATTCGTTTTTGCATGCACTTGTCTGAGTTTAGCGAACAATATGATTTACAATTAATTTTTTTTTTATCAGAATAAGAAGACTAAACACAAGCTAACTAACAATCAACAGAATCAAAACTCTATTTTAAATAGAGGAAATATATATTTATTTCAACAACTAATGAGATATGTTTGGCAGTTATTATAACCTGAGATAACTTGCACCAAGAACATCAGAATTCAGGAAACAAACAGCTCATGGACTCTCCAAAGACCTAATTAAGTTTCGATTTGATCTGGCCGATCTAATAATGGAGTTATATAAATAAAGAGAGAAGAAAACCCAAACCTTTTCCTCAGAAAGTGAGGATAGATTATTCATATCTGCAACCATAGCAAACTCGGAAATCCCACGATTAAGAGAGTGTTTTCGTAGCTGAAAAAAAAAATTTATTTAAAAATCAAGAACAACTTCACGAATCTGAAAGCCGAAAAATTAACAAAATCACATACTAATTTACAAGAAGACTGTAGGGTTTTAGAGGGAACTAGTACTTTCTCGGCTTGTAGATTCTGATAGAACTCTAGGGTTTTTTGGTTGCCTGAACTTTGTAAGTTATATGTATGCGTGTATACATATATACATATATACAGTAAATATTCTGAATATTATTCGATTCGTCATGAATATATTTTTCTTACTTATATAATTTGGATACGTGTGTGTAAAAAAAAAGGTGGAATTTCTCAACCAATTTTTTTTATCAACGTCGTCAGGACTTACGTATGATGAAAATTGTCGACAAATCAAATATTATAACAACCTTTGGCATGTTGCCCAACAAAAATAAAATAACAAACTTTCGCAACAAAACAATAACAAATATAACAACAACATAGTCAGGATTCGCAGAGGATCTGGCTTGGCCGCCAAGTCTAGATTGTTTGAGAAATGTTTTTTATAATCCAGATCCATTAATACAAGTTGTATTGTATATGTGATTATGCCAGCTATTTCATACTTTCTTGGTTCATTATATAAGTATAAGCATAACATTGATTTTTAAATTTTACAATTGACATTTTTAAATTTGTTTTATACAATTAATAATATTTTTTTGATTATACCGTATATGCTATTTTTTCGTAAAATATTATAATATTAAATATATCTTAATGTGAATTAAAAAAAAGGGAAACTATTCTCCACCAATCCCAACCTCGTTGGTTTCGTTTTTTCTTTTTAAGTTTTATTTAGACTCGACTTTTCCACGCGTGCCACGTGTTCAACCAGATGCTCGCCAAACTCTACTTCTCCACCGTCACATTCGTCTGACTTATAGATCTCTTTTTTTATTCGCTCGCTCGACGAAAAGCAAAACCATTTTTTTTTCTCTCTTTCCCTTTCAGTTTCTCCAGGATTCTTGGCTTTAAGCGAACACTTTTCTGTAAACAGATTTTTCTCCGTGAACGATTGAATCGAACAGGAGAAAATGAGGAATTTCAGTTTCTTCGAGAGATTCTCAAGAGCTTTGCAAGAGTATCCTTCTCTCTCCCGGATTATCGTCGTCTCCACGATCAGGTCTTTTTCCAACGATTCATCAGCTCTCTCTCTATTCCGTTTATTCGTGTATCTGTTCCTGTTTCCGTGTAGAAAACCTTACGATTTCTCTCTCGATTATCTGTCGAGCACGTATGATCCTTTTGCGTTTCTCGCCGTTTCGTTTGATTTTGTTTTTGATTTTCTAGATTCGTTTCAGCTTTAAATTTGAAGGAACTACGTAGTACAGATGCTTATTCTCCAGAACACTATAGACAGATTCTCTATGTTGTACTATTCACGCAACAGTTGCTTTTTCTACATTCTGAATCTATCGATTTTTTGTTCCAACTTATATGTTGCCGAGATTCTGCATTTCATATGCTTACCAAATCTGATTTCATGAACTCATCTCTCCTCAATCGTAGTCTGGATTAGGGAATTTTGAATTTACTGTTTATGCTAGAGAGTCCGATAGTGCTTATATGTCCGGGATCTTGTGATTTTTCGAAATGATTGTGGATTTCTCCAGATCTTAGATTTTCTGATGTTAAGCTTACTTGGTTTCTTTGTGATCTGTGTCTATAAATCGAAGATTTGATTCAGATGAGGGTTTACTGATGATATTATACTGTACGATTGTTGTAGTGGTGGTGGACTTATAGCCTATTCCGAGGCAAACGTATCCTATGGCACAAACGGTGTTGTTGAAACTGGAACCAGGAAGAAGAAGGTGGTGCTGCTCGGAACTGGATGGGCCGGAACCAGTTTCTTGAAGAATTTGAATAATTCCCAGTATGAGGTTCAGATTATATCGCCTCGAAACTATTTCGCTTTCACTCCCTTGCTACCTAGCGTCACTTGTGGAACTGTTGAAGCTCGCAGTGTTGTTGAGCCGATTCGAAACATTGGAAGAAAGGTAACTGTGCTGTGACATTGAATTAGCTCTAAATGGAAATCGTGTCTTCTTTTTCGTCAAGTTTCTCTGAAACAGAGTATCTTGATTAGACTACTTATAAATTTCTGTAAGGTCTTTTGATTGAAAAATCGCTAATGCACGCTCGTTTTCCTGTCCTGACAAGCAGAAGAACGTTGATACGTCTTACCTGGAGGCAGAATGTTACAAAATTGATCCAGCAAGCAAGAAAGTTCACTGCCGATCCAAACAAGGAGTCAGCTCGAATGGAAAGAAAGAATTTTCTGTTGACTATGACTACCTTGTGATTGCTACTGGAGCTCAGTCTAACACTTTTAACATACCTGGAGTGGAGGAGAACTGTCATTTTCTGAAAGTAAGTGTTATTTTTGCTCTTGCTCCAGTTAGTATATTGTTTAGTACGGAATGATAGTTTGAGCTATGAAAGTGTATAGACTGATCATTTGTCATTATATATGTCTGCAGGAGGTTGAAGATGCCCAGGGAATCCGTAAAACTGTGATTGATAACTTTGAGAAGGCGAGTTTGCCAGATCTAAGTGATGAAGAGAGGAAGAGAATCCTGCATTTTGTGGTTGTTGGTGGTGGGCCAACAGGAGTTGAGTTTGCCGCGGAGCTGCATGATTTTGTTACTGAGGATCTAGTCAGGCTCTATCCTAGAGCTAAGGATTCAGTGAGAATCACGCTCCTGGAGGCCGCTGACCACATTCTGACCATGTGAAATTTCTTGCCTCTACAACTTCTGAATCGTGGTCAATCTTTAAGTTTCCATAAAAACCTTGTGCAAATGACTGATGGGAGGCTTTTGTTTGACAGGTTTGACAAGAGAATCACTGAGTTTGCAGAAGAAAAGTTTAGCAGAGATGGTATTGATGTGAAACTTGGCTCCATGGTGACCAAAGTGAATGAGAAAGATATATCTGCTAAAACCAAAGGAGGAGAGGTTTCCACAATTCCGTATGGAATGATTGTCTGGTCAACTGGTATCGGAACTCGTCCTGTGATCAAAGATTTCATGAAACAAATTGGTCAGGTAAAGTAACCTTGTGCTTAGAGAAACTCACACTTTTAACAGTTTTCGACATATCTTAGCAAACAAGTTTAAGAAACTGTATTTGTAATTGCAGGGTAATAGACGTGCTCTGGCCACTGATGAATGGCTTCGCGTTGAAGGATGTGATAACATATACGCCCTTGGTGATTGCGCAACAATTAACCAGCGAAAAGTCATGGTAACTTAATCTTCTCCTCTTCCCAAACTCTGGACTAATGGTTTAGATTATAAAACAAAGATATATATCAATGGGGTTTGCTGTTGCAGGAGGATGTTTCTGCGATATTTAGCAAAGCAGACAAAGACAAGTCTGGGACACTGACTCTGAAAGAGTTTCAAGAAGCAATGGATGACATTTGTGTTAGATACCCACAAGTGGAGCTCTACTTGAAGAGTAAACGCTTGCGTGGCATTGCGGATCTTTTAAAAGAAGCCGAAACTGATGATGGTTCAAAGAAGAACGTCGAACTGAAGATCGAAGAATTCAAATCAGCTCTTTCTCAGGTTGACTCACAAGTGAAGTTTCTTCCAGCTACCGCACAGGTAAACAAAATTCAGTTGAAATTCTAGCGATTGAACTCTCACACACATTTGTTTGCTGGATTGATTCTTGTTTGAATTATTATTAATTTGTTGCTTGGCAATTTTAAAAGGTTGCTGCACAGCAAGGCACATACCTTGCGAAATGCTTTGATCGTATGGAAGAGTGTGAGAAGAATCCAGAAGGTCCCATTAGGATGAGAGGAGAAGGTCGTCACCGTTTCCGCCCCTTCAGGTTACTAGCTTCCCAAAATTACTTGGAATCAATATTTCCGGTTTGGTATGGTTTAGTTTAACCGGGGTGGTTGGGTCTGGTACAGGTATAGGCATTTGGGACAATTTGCACCATTGGGAGGAGAACAAACGGCGGCACAACTTCCAGGGGATTGGGTTTCTATTGGACAAAGCAGCCAGTGGCTTTGGTATTCCGTCTACGCCAGGTAAAAATAAATTTTAACTTTTTTAACTTTAATCAAACTTTAAACTGTTTTCATTTTTAACCGTGGAGACGTTATGTTTGGAAACAGTAAGCAAGTGAGCTGGCGCACGAGGGTCCTAGTGGTTTCTGATTGGATGAGACGTTTCATCTTTGGTAGGGATTCAAGTAGCATCTGATCACCAAACCATCTACAACATCTCTCTCACTTTCTCTTTCTCTTTTTATTTCCACACGAGAGCTACGCTACGCTAACTTTCTCCTGAGAAGAAAAAAAAGAAGTTTTGTATTTTGTTATCTTTTTCCGTTTCGGCTTTTATATGTGTCATAAGATAAATGGACAAAGAGACGAGGAAAGACATTGCCTCGTTCCATTGGTCCTTTTGAGAATTTGCATTCTGTTTTTCGATATTTTCCATGCGGTCATTACCTATTATTTACGTAATTTCTTTCAGCTCTGTTTTCATGTAACAAATTTAGTATTTTCTTAATCACATTTTAATTGGTAATTTTACGGTATGGAAGGAATTATGTAACGCAATAACGAAATCATATCTATTGATGCTAAATGCTTCTAAGGGTGTCTATATAGAATTTAAAAGATTCAATTCTATTGGTACACATCATTATTTATATGTAATTATATATAAAAATAAATTAATTAATTTCGTTTTTATTATTATAAGGAAAGTTTCGAAATTTTAATTAATTTTTTTTTGTTTATATATATAAAAAATTAATTAATTTCGTTTTATTACTATTAAGAAAAAAAAGTTGGTTATAATTGATAATCAACATATATAATATATAAAAGTTGATGGCATAATGTATTGAGGGCGTCCACATGGAATTAAAAAACTCGATCTGATTGGTCCACATTAGCATATTCATTAAATAGAAAAATGTTAAGTATGATTAGGACGAAAAAAACTTAATTTAACTGGTCCACATTAGTTTTTTAATCAAACCAAAAAATATTAAGTATAATTAAAACATTAAAAGTTAATTTAACAAATTATGTCCAACAAAAAAAAGTAAATTCAATCTGATTGATCCAAATCAACATATTTACTAAATCAGAAAATGTTAATATGGTTAAATTTTAAAAGTTAAATAAAAAAATATTAACAATTAACAATACATGTATAAAAAAGTAACTATTATCAATTATCAATTTAAAAAAATTTACAACAACTCGACTTAACAATTAAAACAATCAAAACTGAATAAAAATATAACATAAAACTCTTGGAAAACATGATAAGAAAAAAATGGTTTTGCATGATAATTATAACTTCCTAACAAAATTAAATACGAATCAACATGAATCATGAATCATATATGCAGTGGTACACAACATCAATAAGACTTTCAATAAAAAAACTAAGTATTTGAACACATAAACCTTTAAGAAAAAAAAAACTATAGAAATTCTATGGAAAACAGAAAATAATATCAAAATCTTAGCAAGATTATATTTCTCTAAATCAAATGTATAAGTACATCAAAGTTGGATAATTCGATAGGTGTCATTGTTATTATTTTACCTAATAGTTTTTTTAAAATGTATATATAAAAATAGGATAAATTACACATTATATATTAAATTCTCTTATATAAATGAAAATTTCTATAAATATATATAATTTTGGTCCACATGAGATTAAAAAATTCGATCTGATTGGTCCACATCAGCATATTCATTAAATAAAAAATATAAGTATGATTAGGACGGAAAAACTTGATTTAATTGGTCCACATCAGTTTTTAAATCGAACAAAAAATTATTAAGTATAATTAAAATATTAAACGTTAATTTAACAAATTATGTCCAACCAAAAAAAAGTAAATTCAATCTGATTGATCCAAATCAACATATTTATTAAATCATAAAATGTTAATATGGTTTTTAAAATTTAAATTTAAAATAAGAAATTTAAGAATTAACAATACACGTATAAAAAATAGTAACCATTATCAATTATCAATTTTAAAAAAATCTACAACATCTCGATTTAACAATTAAAACAATGAAAACTGAATAAAAATATAACATAAAACTCTTGGAAGACATGATGGAGAAGGAAAAAATACTTTTTCATGATCAATACAACTTCCTAAGAAAATTAATTGCGTATCAACATGAATCATGGATTATATATACAGTGGTACATAACATCAATAAGATTTTCAATAAAAGACTAAATATTTGAACCTATAAACCTTCAAGAAAAAAAAGAATTATAGAATTCCTATGGAAAACAGAAAATAATATCAAAATCTTAGTAAGATTATATTTCTCTAAATCAAATGTATATGTACGTCAAAGTTGGATAATTTGATAGGTATCATTGTTATTATTTTACATATTAGTTTTTTTAATATTTATAAATAAAAATAGAATAAATTACAAATTATATATTAAATTCTCTTATATAAATGATTTTTTATAAATATATATGATTTTTAATAATTTTAAAGATAATAGCTAAAAAACATAAATCAAAATATTAATAATGACTCGCGCATATCGCTAGTTATATACATAGTCTATTACTAATAAAAGCTGATGCTAAATGCCTCTAAGGGTGTCCACATAGGATTTAAAGATTCAATTTTAATGGTACACATCATTATTTTCTTTAGTTAATTATATATTATATATTAAAATTAATTAATTTGTTTTAATTGTTATTGGGAAAATTTCTATATTTTAATTAATTTTGTTTTTGTTGTTATTAGGAAAGTTTCCAAATTTTAAGTTGGTAATTAATAAAAAAGAGTTTTGAAAATAGATCTTATTTTTTTTATTAACAATACAAAGTAAATTAATATATAAATAAATTATGAAAGAAAAATCTTATATATTAAACAAAATTATTAAAAATTGTATTTAAAACTATAATTAAATAATTTTAAAATTTTAATTAGGACAAACAATTAAAATCTAAAATGCTAATTTAAAATACATTAGTAGTGGTCTCTGTTGATGTCTTAGGCCAATGAGAGCATGCACATATGATATATATACTCAATTTGATTGATTTATATCATTGTTTTTCATTAAAGATAAAATATATTAAATATTGTTAATAATTTAAATAGATTAAAACATGCAAAAATATAAAATTATCATAGTAGAATAAAAAATCAAGATAAAAAATTTTAACTAACAAAACAGATCAAATAAAATTATGTCAAAAAAACTAAATCTATAACATTTGTCAAAATAAAATGTAAACTCATTGTCATAAAAACTAAACTAACAAAAACAAATATGTAAATTTAGCATATATATTTAAAATGAGTAATTTATTTAGAAAAATATATTAAAATTAAATGTTAAATAAGTATATAAAATTGTTATTTAAAAATATCAATACTACCAAAAAATATTATGTTAAATTAACAAAAGAAAAAGTTATCTTAAACTTGATATTTAGCATAATTATTTAAAAAATAAACACAAAAAGTTTAACTAACCAAAAATAATTCTTTATGCTAATTACTAAAAACAAAATATAGAAAAATTTAACTAACAAAAAACAAAATATAATTTATTTCTTGCAACATACCAATACAATTAAAATGAAAGTCCATAGCGCGAAATTTAAATAAACAAAAAAAAGGATATTAACTTGATATCTATGTTATTTATTTAACAACATCAATATAAACAGAATAAGTAAGAGCATAAAAAAATATAAGTAATACTAATGAAAAACAATATAAATATTTAAGCTAATTATTTAAGAAATCAATATTAAAGAATTAATTAACTAAAAACTAAAATGAAAATTAAGTTTTACAAAATGATAATTTTTTTTAAAAAAACTCCTAATTATATATTGACTTGATATCTAAATAACTACTCAGGAAACTCATATAAAAACATTTGATTAACAAAAAAAACAAAAAACAAAGTTATGTCTTCAAAATATCAATATTTTCAAAACAGTTGTGTGTGAAAATAAAATATAAATCAATATCAAGAGAGCTAAATTATCAAAGGAAGAAGTCTTATAAAGTAAAATTAGCTTGATATTTAAGCTAACTAACAAAAAAAAATTAACTAAAGAAAGCAAATGATGGTATGAGCTTTTGAGAGAAGTTCACATAAAATTTAGGGTAACCAGTTATAGTATGTCAAATTAGCATTTTAATTAATTTTAATAGTAAATTTAACAAACAAAAAAAATTTATGTCAAATATATTAAATTGATATATGCTACCTATTTGAAAAATCAATAACAAAAGAGATTAATTAAATATATATATATATACATAAGTATATCAAGCAAGCAAAAAATTAGATAATTAAAATAAAATATAAAATTACTATCAAAGATATTTAAAATAACAAAAAGATCTAAGAAAAAGATTCGTTTGAAATTTAGTTTCTGAAAATTCATGAGTTCTAAAATTTTGGTGTTGACTAAGAATAACTATATAAACTTATAGTAGGTTATACAAGACTATAAATTAAACATATTATTTAAATTTATAAAGACTAATATTTTGGATGCGTCTGATTTAAAATTTAACAAAGAAAAATACTACCTAAGTAACTTTACATTCAAAATGTAATAAAGTTTGATTTTTATACATACTCACTGCTTATAACTTAGCCAACGTGAACAACACATAAGCAACATCTTCTAAAATTTAGGCTTTTTAACAAAAAAAATATCTTCTAAAATTTTATTTAACTAATAAAATATGACAAGGTTATGAATAAAATTCAAATTAGAATATATCTAGATAAACTATTCAAATCAAAACATGAATAAAACACACAAAAGATTAAAAAAAAAGTGATAATGTGAAGTCTCCACATCATCTTACATGTTTAAAAACAAATATTAGCAAATAATTGACTGCAAATATAACAGATCTTATAAACTGAATAGAGATATAACATAAAATTCGTAGAAGATCTGGTGGAGAAGCAAAAAGCAGCTTTACACGGTTAGTGTAGCTTACTAACAAAAGTAAATTTGAATCAACATATATTATATTTTATATATGTATAGATACACCACATCAATGAAACATTTAGTAAAAAAATAAATATTTAAACATATAAACCTTAAAAAAACTATAGAAATTCTAAGGACACCAAACAAAATACCAAAAATTTAGTAAGGAAATCATTTTCTATATCAAACGTATGCACGTCAAATGTGGATAATTCGCTAGGTGTCATTATTATGATTATAATTAATAAGAATTGTAATTTTTTAAACAAAAAAATAAGAAAACTACATATTATACTTTGTTTTGTATATAAAAGAAAACCTTTATAAATATATTATAATTTGGATAATTTAAAAGATATTATCCCAAAAAAATTAAACCAAGTTAAAAATCTAATAATATATAAAAGTTGATGGCATAGTGCATTGAAAGCGTCCACATGGGATTAAAAAACTCGATCTTATTGGTCCACATCAGCATATTCATTAAATAAAATATGTTAAATATTATTAGGACAGAAAAATTTGATTTAATTGGTCCACATCAGCTTTTAAATCAAACCAAAAATTATTAAGTATTATTAAGACATTAAAAGTTAATTTAACAAATTATGTCTAACAAAAAAAAGTAAATTCAATATTATTGATCCAAATCAACATATTTATTAAATCAGAAAATGTTAATATGGTTTAAAATTTTAAAAGCTAAATAAAAAATTAACAATTAACAATACATGTATAAAAAAAAATAACAATTATCAATTATCAATTTAAAAAAATCTAAAACAACTCGATTTAACAATTAAAACAATGAAAATTGAATAAAAATATAACATAAAACTCTTGGAAGACATGATGAGAAGGAAAAAATGGTTTTGTATGATCATTACATCTTCCTAACAAAATTAAATGCGAATCAACATGAATCGTAGATTATATATACAGTGGTACACAACATCAATAAGACTTTCAATAAAAATTAAATATTTGAACATATAAACCTTCAAAAAAAAAAGAACTATAGAAATTCTATGAAAAAAAAGAAAATAATACCAAAATTTTAGCAAAAGTATATTTCTCTAAATCAAATGTATATGTACGTTAAAGTTGGATAATTCGATAGGTGTCATTGTTATTATTTTTCCTAATATTTTTTTAAAATTTATAGATAAAAATAGGATAAATTACACATTATATATTAAATTCTCTTATATAAATGAATATTTCTATAAATATATATAATTTTTATAATTTTAAAGATAGTAACTAAAAAAATAAACCAAAATATTAATACAAACTTACGTGTAGCGCGAGTTATATAACTAGTTATTAAATAATAATAGAGAACAGTGGGGATGACAGCTAGTCAGCGACTATGTATATGATTACTGAAAAAGGCATGATAACCGAAAAAGACTGCAAGATTACTCATTACCGAATCATGATTTAATACTAAAAGACTTTTAATACTAGGAAGTCTCCTCAACATCAGTGACGCTAATAATATCGGCGAAACCGACTTTCTTGCGTAGCCGGAGAACCAAACCGGCGGCGTCGACTCCTTCTCCGATCACCACCACTTTGTCTTTTTCTTCTCCTTCTAATCCCACGAAAGTCACTCCTGCTCCAAATTTTGAGTAAAACATGAGAAATTTCGAGCGAGATGTGTTAAACAAATATAAATTGCTACATAATAACATAACCAAAATGCAGGTTCGAAATATAATTTAGGGAATCCTAATTTCTATTTCACAACTATATCCTGCTATCTCAATGATAAAAAAAAAAAAAATGAAGGGATTCAGCCATTTGATATTATGTTAATTTTTATGATTTTATTTTGCAGTGTTACCAACTAAAACCTTGTTTAGTAAAGGCTAAATGAGATATCTTTACCAGTAGTTTTGCCTCCGACATCGAGAGCTGCTGAACGACATTTTTGACACCTCATATTTACCGACATCAAGATTTTCTGCTCATGAAACTTCCAAAATTTAGATAATAATACTAATAGGTTTCTTCTTTTCTTGAACAAAAATACTAACATATACGTGTATATTTTAGATTTTTAGTACAAGTAATCTTTAACATATACCTTGGCCATTGGTGATGGATTCCTTTTGGGAGCAAATGAAGCTTTTCTCTCTTTTCTCCTTTTGGTTTAAGTGATTCTAATTTACGCGTAGGGCGAAACAAGACTGTATAACACATGTAATATAAAGACAACATACGTACGTTGTAAGTTTCTTGTGGCATGTGGCACATATTGCTCAACACGCATATACGTAATTGTATATACAACAACAATTACCAGGAACTTGTAGGGGAATTTTCATTGTAACTGCTTCGCACTAAGGTCCTTAAATACATTATAAATGTTGACGTTAACTGCACAATATTGCTACTACATATAGCTTGACTTATGAGAGAGAGTCAATGGACACGTCAAGTAATTATTGTAACTTCGTAGTTAAGCGGGTACGTAAGCCGTCGAAAAGTCAACTCTAATTCGGTTTGATTCAACAAAATGTCAATTTATTTGAATAAAAAAAGACTCAAACATTCATGGAACACAAAAAAAAAAAAGAAGCAGAATAGTGCAAGAGAGAAACAAAACCTAAACCACTAATAGTCGGTCTAGGGTTTAAGTTTAACAAAATACAAAAGCCCAACAATCGAAGATGGAAATTGGAAACACAATTTGGGCTATATACCTGTTTTCTGTATGGGCCTACAATGGGTCGTTCCTCGGATAAATCGGGTTTAATCTCCGGTTAATGGTTTAATTTCTGCTTCAGTAAACCATTACTGCTTTAACAAAACGACGTCGTTGCTCTTCATCTTCTGGAACTCGTTTCTCTGTCTCTCTCCTTCCTCTTCCTCGTCCGATTTGGATTGTTTCTCTATTTTTCTTTCTTTCTGGGTTTATTACTCATTGCTTCTGTACTTTGATCTCAACTTATCTAGGGTTATTTTTCATTAATAACTGTATCAGCTATATTCCAATCAAAGCTTTGGTTATTTTTGATAATTGTGACCATTAATACAATAATCTTCTCTCTTTTCACACATACATACATACACACACACATTCTTTTTTGTATTTGTGATACTTTTGGTTTCAAGCTGAGTCTACTCCTCATCCTTGTTGCTGTGCAAGATATCTCTCTCGACGTTGCTTCTGGTAAATGACACAGAAAGAGAAACAATATCAAACATCATCACAATCACACTTTGTTCTCTTATAAGAAGAACATGTAAAAGAATGGCATTTGTGTCACACGCACCCATTCATCAATCACAAGTCCTTCCCCAATTAGATTTGGACCACTAATAACCTCTGGTGCTTTCTTCTTCCGTGCTTCATCTGCAGCATCCGCTTCAGCTAGTTGACTCTTCAGTTTCTCCATCATCTTTTATAGGTAACATGATCCCACTTAGTTCACAGATGATGGCGACAACAAGAACCAAAAGAAGAAGATAGAAAGAAAGAAAGACTCACAGGGTTAGGGCTTTCGGGATCCAAGAATACCACACGCATTACTTGCTCCTCAGAGACTTGATCTTTTTGTTCCTTAAACTGTAAAACAAAAACACTCAAAAGAGTCTCATTTCTATCTTATCTTCTCTTTCAGATTCTGAACAAACAATCAATAACAACAAAGTTTCACAAACCAGCTCAGGCATATAGTCCGTTGGGACTTTCATCTTCAGGCTCATGATTTTAAACTTAAACCCGCTCTTCTTTTCCATCGGCCTTTCATTGTTCTCAGGTGCCTCAACAAACTTGAAAACTTACAGAAATTTCAACAAGAAACGGATCATCATTCATCACATACCCTGATCAAGCACAATAACAATGGATAGAACAACACAAGCAAATTACCAGTTGCGATGATTTCTTCCCCAGGAGCAAGAATAGCACCATTCGGACGCATGAAGCAGCTCTTTGGTTCCGTTGTTTGAAACTGAAGAAACAGAGAGAATCAGCAGATAAAAAAAACCTTAAATTCAAAAACTTTGTTTAGATTTCTCCGAACAAACCTTAAAAGCTACATGTGACTTGCTCGTATTCTTAATCTTAATGGCGCTTCTCACTTGCTTCCCAGGCTCATCTTCACAACAAAAGTCATAAACTTGATCACGAATCAAACAACTGAGAAAGACGACTAATTTTACAAACTGAGTTCAAGTCAAGCAAATGTAATTGCCGAGACCTAAAAAATTGATTATCTCAATACAATCTACAATTATGTGGAAGATGAGATTCGAGAAACTTACAAGGGAAGTACAGTTTGGCCGGAGGATCAAGCTTCAAGCGGCGTTTCGTTGGAAGAAGTGATCTCGCGACAGAGGACATCGAAGGGATAGTCGTTGCGGGTTGATGATGGTTTTGGTTTTGACCCAATCCTTCGACAGCGGGAGGTCCGTGATAGCGAAAATGGCGAGATTGGTGAATGTAATTTTGATTGAGATCAGAAGATGGTGCGGACGAAGAAGAAGAAGTAGCCATGGAAGAGGAAGAGCTGGCCTGACTGTTGGAGTTTCGAAAGGGAAGCTTGAATAAACCCCAGCGCCGGCCATCGGAATCTGATTTTTCCTCCGTCAAAGCCATCGGAGGACTCGGACGCCCAAAGGGAAAAGGATTAAAATTTGATTCGATTGGGTTGATTGAGCGAAAGGTCAGTCAAAAAAGGAAGTGGAGAAGAAGAAGCAAAACGCGCTACGGGAATAGCGTTTTATAACGACCGCGTCTCTGATTCGCTTTTTTCAGGTGATTGCGTTATGAAAAGCAACGGTTAGATTAATAGACTTATCAATTATCATCGTCTTTGAATCGTAGAGGTAAAAAAAACACAGTAAACTTTATGGACTATAATTTTTTAATTTTGTTAAACCGCCAAAAGTTAACACACATTCACATTTGAAAAAGTAATCACATTATACAAAACAAAAACAAAACAAAAATACAATTTGATAAACAATTTGCACCATCACACATTTTTTTTTTACCATTTTACAGTTACAGCCTACCAACTTGTTATTTTTTTTATTTTTTACGGCATCATATTATATTTTACAAAACATGTTCTCCATCATTTTGATCACAATTAATTCAGGAAACGAGTCTTCTATATCATCCAATTATCTACCAATTACAAAAAAAAAAAATACAATTCGATAAACAATTTGTACCATCACACATTTGGCAGAAATCTATTGGCGGAATCCTATCTAAAATAACATTTTTTTTACCATTTTACAGTTACAGCCTACCAACTTGTTATTTTTTTTTTATTTTTTTACGGCATCATATTATATTTTACAAAACATGTTCTCCATCATTTTGATCATAATTAATTTAGGAAACGAGTCTCTTCTATATCATCCAATTATCTACCAATTTTAGCATACGTGCTCTTAAGCATGTTTTGAAAATTTTAGGGATTTAAGGAATTAGCGTTGTACACGGCAAAAAATGTTTGACAAATTATCCGATAATCTCTGTATTAAGATTATCCGATAATCACCCCCATTGAGTAAGGATTTAATTTGGAGTTTTCTAAAATCCAGAAGTTAACATAAGCACTATAGTCCAAATCGATAGATATGTAAAATGGCAATATTATCTGTGACATAATCTATAATGTTAATAGCTTTACTGTACCACTCGATTTTGTGAAAACCATTTTCTTCATAGCAACTTTTATTTTTTGTACAAGCTTTACAGAAAAACAAAGAACTACAAAGACGAAAAATATTCACAGAGAACATCACAGAAAACTCAAAATCAAAACAAAAACAGAAAAGAAATGTTTCGGTTTTCGATTTCGAAATTTACAATTCCACCAGATCTCTAACAAGATCCCCAACAGCTCAGAAACATAACCGTACGTAGAGATTCCTCCGCCTGCCTCAGCCTCTCGCTCGCCGCCGCGCCAAATCGCCTCGATTCTAGATCGCCTTTGAGTCTCCGCACAGACGACGACGCCGATGCGACTGAACTCTGCGGCGATGTCGAATCTTTGACGGCAGATCGGAAAGTCGTCGTATCGCCGCCGCAGCTGCCGGTAACACACTTGTCCTTCATCAACTTACCGGAAAACTGATTAATCACTCTGTTCATCTGCTACAGATTTACTTGTTTTAATTACAAATTCAGATTATTATTTTTGAGCTATTCTGGCTTTTCAGATTCCGAAGAGAGAGAGTTTCTTCTTCTTTTATGAGAGTGAGCGATATTCGCTTTATATAGAGGGGAAAGTAAGTGAGCCAGAGGATTTTGGAGAAACAACCGGCTAAAACGGTAGAAACTGGGGGCTCAATGGCTCGTGGGATTGCTTTTAGATAAGTGACCGGCGCGTGCCGGTTTAAGGAAGGTTCGCGACATGTTGTTGTGGTATACTGTGGATATGATCGATGAGCATCAAATGGATATTTTTATTACTTTCTTTTCTTTTCTCTCTTTTAAATCATTTTCATTTTTGAAAAAGACATTTGAATATCTTTGTTGCTTCCCCCTGGATAACTATGGATAATTAATAGGATGTTTTAGTTTTACGATAGAGATAATTGTGATGTTTTTATTTATCATGATAACGTATTTTGTTCTACTTTATTTTGTCTAGATTAGGATTTGACTAAGGTTTTTTGTTTTCTCCAACACTTTATAGTTTATATTACTAATGTTTTAGAACTGATTTTACAACTATGATCATCGCTTTCAGATCAGTTATCTGGTTAACTAATTAACAAATTATTTCTTATTTTAACGGTTTGTACATGATTGAAAGAGCACATAAATATGAAAGATTAATAAAGTAATATTTTCATGATTGTTTGATAAACTATTGATAAAAGACTTTCGGTATGTGCTAAAGTGGCAAGTTTGTCTGCCACTTGTTGTTGTTATCTTCGTCTTATATATACTAGATATCTATCCATACTATACTTCAGAATATTTTTTCTAAATTTATATATATTTTTAATATAATACAATTATTTTTATAATATAAATGAGTATTATATTTATTTTTTATTAGCTTAAAATATGTATTTATATGTTTTAAAACTGAATAAACATTATATATCATTAATTTTTAAAAATTATAATCTATTATCAAATTTGTTTAACTAACTATCTATAAATGTATATGTAAGAATAAAACAATATATTTTAAGTACATTCATACTAATACTAAATGTAATTTATTATCTCTATTAAATTACTACTTGATCCTTTTTTGAAATTATATAAAGCAAATTGCCATTTAAAATTATTAATTAATATGATTATTTTAAACTATAAAATTTATTTGTTTATCAAATATTTATTATAGACATATGTTTCTAAAACTATCAAACTATAATCAATAACATTCATATCAAAATCATTACTATTACTTTTAAACTAAATAGAAAGTTCTATTTAAACTGTTGAAATATCAATTTAGTTGAAGTTAAATAATTCAATTTTGGTTACTATAAACATATTGTAACTTTGAAAATTAGCACAGAGAAATTTTATCATTTTAAAAAACCGAAAAATTGTATTTTTCGACAAAACAAAACAAATATATTTTCCCACAAAACTGAGAAATCGCATATTCCCGCCAAAACCAAAAAAATTCGTCAAACCTGAAATTTCATTTTCCTACCAAAACAAATAAATTATATTTTCCCTCAAAAACCAAAAAATCATATTTTCCCGCGAGAATCTGTGTTTTCCCGTCAAAACAGAGAAATCAAGTTTTTTCACCAAAACCAAAAAATTTCATCTTCCTGCAAAAACAAAAAATAGTATTTTTTCCGTCAAAACCAAAAAGATATTTTCCCCCAGAAATCATCTATTCCCACCAAAACAAAAAAACATTATTTTTCTCGTCAAATCAAGAATCACGTCTTCCTACCAAAACCGATAAACTACAATTTTCTGCGAAAACCAAAATTTGCATTATTTCATGAGAAATTATGTTTCTCGCAAAAACCAAGAAATTATATTTTCTCTCGAAAACCAAAAAATCAAATTATATGTCAAAAACTGAAAATTAGCATTTCCCATCAAAACGAAGAAATTGTTTATTCCCGCCAAAGTCGAGAAATTTTGCTTTTCTATCAACCCGAAAAATTGCATTTTCTACCAAAATTGTCAAATTACAATTTTCCGCAAAAATCAAGAAATTACATTATCCATCAAAAGCCGAAAAATTGCATTTTCTATCAAAACCGAGAAATTGTATTTTTCGTCAAAATTGAAAAGTTGCATTTTCCTCGCATTTTCTCGTCAAAATCAAATTTTTAATTTCTCACCAAAACCAAAAATTCACATTTTTCCGCCAAACCCGAGAATTCGTTTTTTTCTGCCATAACCGAGAAACTATCTTTTCCTACCAAAACTGAAAATCACATTTTTCTACCAAAACCAAGAAATTCTCTATTTCCGCCAAACCCAAGGAAATTTGTTCTCAGTAACCAGTGGAAATGTGAATCTCCAAGCTGTGGTGGTCTGAGTTTCTCCTCATTTGCTTTCGCCTTCTATTTTTTTTTTTTGAAAACTTTGGGCTTTTTAATGGGTCAGCAAAATAGTAAATTTATTTTATTAGTGCGTTAATAATATTTATTATTGTTATGTTTTTATTGGTTTAAATTTTTACTGATGTGTGAGCTTCTTATAACATAACACTTTTTGCATTGTTGTTATGGAAGCATAGTTGATGATGAGTCTATACTTTCTTTAATCATATACGTATCTATCAAGCAAACACATAGGTAGAAATTTTAATTTTTTTTTGCTGTTTTTTATTATTTGAATTTCGGTTTGGCAAAAATATAAAACAAAAATTTAATTTTATTATTTGTTGTTATTTATTATTTGAGTTTGGCAAAAAAATAAAATAATTTTTTATTTGCTGTTATTTATTATTTGGGCTTAGGCTTGACCAAAACATAAAACTAAAATTAACAATAAAAATATTTGGGTTTTTAATTAGTTTAAATTTAAAAGTTAAAATATATTGATGATTTGTATTAATGAAATATTTTTATTGGTGTATTTTTTTGCTGAAGTATCATCTCCTAAAAACTTGAAAATACTGATATATCAAATCATAGAGAGATTTATGGGTTATTGTTGTGTTGATTTACACTAGTTGAAACCTAGACAAATTAAAACTTTACTGCATTGTTGTAACTTGTAAGTCAATGCACCATGTTCTTCATTTTTGTTGAGTTTCGGTTTATAACGTCGTTGAGTAAAAAGAGGAGGAGACACCATACTTAAGCTTTGGTACTGTTTTGATGTAATTGATCTTGAACCCCACCAAAATGACGATGGATCTTACAAACATGTCTTTTTCGAAAGTTTGAAAGAGAATCTAATACCGACATAGTCAAAACGATCGACATATTATCCATTAACAAGAAACAAATACAGTTAGTATTAATTCTGAACCCAACAAAAATTACAAAGTTAAAAGCCCATTTATCGTATTATCCACTTCACTAGTAGATTTGATAACGAAGCTGGGACGCTCATTTTATTAAAGAAAAAAACAAAAACCGGTTTAGTTTTGACCGGTTTACAGTCCGCCGCGATGCACATTCTCGACACCGGAGCTCGTTTCTCCGCCGTTAGATTCTCACCGGTTTTCAGTCCGTCAACTACACCTCCTCGTAGACGACACTTTATCGTAAGGTCTCTTCTTCTTCTACCTCAATTCGACTTTCTCCATCCTTCTCTGTAACACGTTTTAGATTCTCAATCGTTTTAGCTTTTGTGTGTGTCTCTCTCTCAGGGCTAATCTTCCGTTTCCCAAGCATCAAGCTAAGTATCACAAAGAGCTCGAAGCCGCCATTGATGCTGTTGATAGAGCTTGTCGCCTCTGTGTCGATGTAAGGCTACAAATCTACGAAATGGCGATGTATTTCTCAGTTCAGATCGGCTTCTACTAAATCTTGGTGGTTCTTTTTGTGAATTTTGTAGGTCAAGAAATCGCTTTTCTCTTCTAAAGAGAAGATTCTTGAGAAGAATGATCAAACTCCAGTTACAATCGCAGATTTCGGAGTGCAAGCTTTAGTCAGCTTGGGTAAGAACAAGAATGAGTCCACAAGTTTAGGCTTTTCTTTGATTGATGTTGTCGAGATTCCGAAACTGAATCAGTACAAGAAAGTATCCATTTTTCTTGAAACTCTGAATCTTTGCTTATATATCTGATTGCAGAGCTTTCGAAACTGTTTCCTTCAATACCTTTGGTGGCTGAAGAAGACTCTCTCTTCTTACGTGAAAATAACCTCGTTGGTTCTGTGGTAAGTGAAGTCAACGCAAAAGCTAGCATTGGAGACAATCAATTGTCTGATGCTGATGTACTAGAAGCCATCGACAGAGGCGGAAAAGATGCTTATACGTTTTGCAACAAACCAGCTACTTATTGGGTATGTTACAAGTTTAGTATGAAGCGAAAGTTTTTTTCTCAAAGTTCTTACATATGGGTTCCTAGCCATTTAGCTATATTACTCAAAGTTTGTAAATTTTGTAATGTAAGAACTGAAATACAGAAGAACCGGTACTAACATGGAGAATGATTCAGATATCTTTTGTTTATAGATGATATGATGCTCTTATTGAACTCTTTTTTTGTCACTGCAGCTCGCTAGATAATTTGATACTAGGTCTATTGATGTTTTGCAGGTTTTGGACCCAATAGATGGCACAAGGGGGTTCCTTAAAGGAGATGATGCTTTATATGTGGTATGTCTCATTTCGTTTCGTTGTGACAAAATGGTTCTTGTGAGAGTAGGCGTAGGGTGCTGATACATTCATAAGAACCTCCTTGCTTAGATCTACTCGTTTTTGTCTGCGCCATGTTCAAGATTAAAGATTTTTACATGCATCTGTATGATTCGGACATGAGGTTTCGTGGGTTTTGTTCGGTTTCTGATATTGTCTTCTTCATCGAAAATTCATACGCGCATAAATCTCAGGTAGGATTGGCCCTTGTTGTAGATAATGAGATTGTGCTAGGGGTCATGGGCTGTCCCAACTGGCCTGGAGACTCTTCAGATGGATCCACTGGGACCTTAATGCTCTCTCATATTGGCTGTGGAACATGGACCAAGAGTTTACAAGCATCCGGTGATTGGACTAGGCGTTTTGTCGATGCTTGTGGTTTAGTGAACAAAGCTCGGTTTTGTATTCAAGAGAGCCAATCCTGGGAATCACTTCCACTCTCTGCTTCGTTCAACGCAACAACAGATTCGAATGACATACATAGTGACGAGATTCTTCTCTTGCCTACATGTTGTGGAAGGTATCTACTCACTATCCTTCTACTAAATAGAAAATACACAGTTTCCTTAGCTCTGTGTACAGTTTGTAAATGTTATATGCTTCTATGCAAAGTATAACATTTCTACTTAGATCAGTTTCCTTATCTATGTGTACAGTTTGTGCAAGTATTTGATGGTAGCTTCTGGTAGAGCATCGGTATTCCTTCTCCGAATCAGAACTCAACGAACGATAAAGGTACTCAGTTGTTTGATCCGGATCTCTCTGCTTTCTTGTATCCGAAAGTTTTCTCTTTTTAAAGAGATTGTATCTTGAAAACATGTAGTCTTGGGATCATGCTGTTGGGATCATATGCGTTAATGAAGCCGGAGGAAAGGTTGGTGAGATCTTTTCATTGTGATGATTGTCTTCTTGTCTCTGTTTTGAGTTTCTTGAGATGACCGTCTTCTCTATGTCTCTCCTCAGGTAACAGATTGGGAAGGAGATGAAATCAATCTGGAGGAAGATCAATCAGAAAGGAGGATCATTTTTCCGGCGGGTGGTGTTGTTGTTAGCAACGGAAGTTTACATCATCAGATTCTTGAGATGATCTCTTCTGCTTCTCCAACTCTTTGATTTATAACTATTTTACACTAAAGACTTTATACGACAGACTTTATTGTCATTGAAAATGAGTTCATTCATCATAACTTCATGTGTCATCATAAATTAGTGACAAAATTATATCAGATTGGTATTTTTGGTGGATTGTTATCGTGATTGTAAAAGATCTTTATGGATTATCAAAGTTTAAAATGCATCGTATTTTGTTTAGTATTACACATGATTTAGGATATAGATTTCAGAATTATGGATCATATTTCACTTGAGGAAAGTTTTCAGGATTTAGAGTTAAAATGTATAAACAGTTGTGAAATGTAAATTAAAATCATCATTCTTTTCTTTCTATCGAGTGTAAATAGTTTTACTAATTTTGTTGACTGACGTTCCAAAAAGTATATAGTGGTTATTTTTATATTATTAGCATGATCTCTGTTATCAAACGAATCCCCAAGATTAGAGACCTACTAATCAAATGTATATTATATAGATAATAGATACGATTGCTAATTAAATATTAAATATATAACGTGGATAGAGTCTATCGTACATGTAAATTAAGTGGCACATCAACTCCACAACCATTCTGATTTCGTGTCGCATTTATTGTTTGTGTGTGGATTTTCGGTCTTTGTCTTCTTCATCACCTTTCAACTATTTAGGATTCAAAGGGCTTCGTGTCTGACGTAACAAAGATATATAGGATAATGCGATAATAATCTCTGCATGACTCGATTTTAGTCTATAACATATATATACTAATCAATCATATTTTATTTAGAAAAGTTAGGTAAGTATTGCATATGTATAAATATGTGGCTACATACTATTATTGCCTAACTCTTTTGTCCATGTGGCTTACTTACGAACGAGTATTGCTACGAGTTAATTATAACTTCGTTAAAACAATCAATTGAAACGACGTTACGTATTATTAGTACTCTAACTCAAATCCGCATTTTATATATTATTAACAAAACAAATTGATAGAAAAGGTGAAAAACTGACTACAAAAAATGCATATATATATATACCACTAATAGATGAATTCGAGCATATCTTTATAAAAATTCGATTTCAAATGTGTGAAAAAGCACATTTCAGAGTCTTTGATCTGGATTTCATAACCAAACATTCTACTGATATACAAGTCCAATAATATTCACGGCACACATCACATGTATGAATGTATAATTAATTAATAAAAGAGACTCAACATTTATCAACATATAAGATTTGGTCAACTGTGTGTAATTTATAACACGTAGGCTACTCTTTGTGGCAAATTCATGCGCAAGCAAAGCCCCTAGATTTTTGACAGGTTGCTACCCTAATATAGCATCACTAGCTATATCTTCTAATCTATTCTTAGCTTTTAGTATTTTTTTATGTTGTATAATTTTATTCTCCTTGTTTTATAAACTACTATACTTGTCCATTCACATAATTTTGTAGATTGTGAAGTTATCATTTGTCGTTAATTAGACCCGACAGATTCTTGAGTCGTAAGGAACGAGACATTAACCTAATATACCAGCCTTTTTTATATTTAAAAAAAAAACTTAATATACTATATAAAGTATAGTAACATAAATTTGACAGTGATTCGATGATTATTAATTCCTCTCGGTGCTAATAAATTAAACACAAGCATACTGTATATCGTTCTTCCGGATAATTTGAACATTTGGTCGATAAATTAACTATTTTGTGCCTGTGTTTTTGTTGCTTGGATGATTTTGTTTGTTGGCAACTTGGAATATTTGAAAGTTGTTATTTTCCTGAAATTATGCAGAAGACCACATCCGCCAGATCAATTCATTATGTATATTAATTTGGGCTACAGGTTTAGGTACTTAAAATTCTAATATGATGCTATGCCTTATGAAAGAAAAAGAAAAAGTTCCTCTTTTGGTAATTAGTGTGATTTTCTATTTTATTTTTTAAAAATTGTTGTTTTCTCCTAATTTTTATTTTATTTTTAAAAGAGCTTTTGTAGTCGACTACATTGCTCTCCAGTCTCCACTACAATTTACAAATTGTTTTCTTTTATCAATGTGTTTGTCGCAATCATAGGTAAAAATAAAATCGTAAAACAAATCGAATTAGTAAACCAAATGGTGATAGTCTAATAGTTTTTAATCAAGGAGGAATTGTTTTGTTGGTCTAGGTTAGGGATCGATTCTCTTCAAACATTGGTCATACAGATATGAATTCTTGTTTTAAACCCATTTGAATATCTGGAGAAAATATCTATAGACTGCACTTCTCCTAAAAGATTAGTCTAGATGTGTGATGTAGCCTGAGTTATCAAAAAAACAAATCGAATTGGAACCACATCCGAAACCTTTGTTTTTAACCGTTAACCACGATTTTAAGTGACAACGTGATCAATCAATCAATCTGACGTCACGCCATGCAAAATTGTACCTCTCGTTTTTATGGTTACTCAAAATGACTAAAGTGCCCCTGAACCTGCATGGCATGATATGTATCTGCTATTCAATTGCTCAAATCAGTTCATAAATCGTATTGTTTTCTATAAAAAATATATATTTTCCTTGACACTAGTTTTATTAATATTCTTAACTGTGAAAAATGAAGATAACTAAAAAAGGTTTGATTGGAATATATTGGAAGCATCACAATTCACAATCATGTATTCAATCTTCACGTAGAATAAGATAATAGGTCCAAAAGATTGGTCTTCAATTTTCTCTGGAGAGATTGATGGATAGATAGAGACAGAGAGGAACAGCTAAATATGGTGTGTATATTAAATACCTTGAATTATATCAAAGTCACGAATCTATTTGTGGGGTAGTGTTCTATATTCAAGAAAATAAATAATATTGCGTTTAATATTTTTTTAATTTATGACTAATATATTTTTATTCCATAAAAAATTATTTAAAATTAGTTTATTTTTTATCGAAATTGAAAATTTCAAAAAAAAAAATAACGTCAACACTAATAATTTTATGTGCGATCATGTGTCAATTTATTAGAAATACTAATACTTCACAAGAATACTTAATTGAACATATAAAATACCAAACTCTAATTGCCAAAAAATGTCTAACTCGTTGTCAGAAAGAAAAGAAATCCTCCAACTATTTTTTGTTGTTGTTCTATTCATAAATAAGTTTTAAAAAGTGTTAGAATTATATATACATATAAGGTGTAGAATTATATTGTGGGTAATTGTCATTTAATTTTTATTTTTGTTGTATTTTTAACAGTCGGAGGATACAACAACAACAAAATAATCTGAAAGAATCTATTTTGTTTTTTCTTCTAAGACTGTTAATATACGTGTATCACAAAGCTAAAAATTAAAATAATATATAACTGAGCCTGATTAATATTTTGATCAAAACAAATACTATGAAAGTCCTTTAACCAAAAAAAACAATGCAAAAAATACCAAGAGCAAGTCTAATAGAAATATTATTAGTATGAATTTTATTGATTTATTATTAATATTTTGCATATTTTATGTATATAAAATATTTTGTAGTATTTTATTGTTTTTAAAGTATATATTGAAGACATTTTTGATGAATAATATATTTTTTTCATAAATCTAAGTAAAAACTTTTATTAACAACTTTTAAACTATAATACATTTTCAAAAATATAATACATGAAAATATATAAATTATAAAAGTCGATATAAATTTTTTATCGTTCATTCAGAATTTGCCATATGTGCGTTTTTAATCCGAAAAATAATTTTAATTTGGATGTTAAACACCTAAAAATCACCATTGAAATTTGTCTAAATGCCTGATAAAAAAATCGACACCTTGTGATTCAAACTTATAGTAAAATGCTATCCAATAATGTTGTCTTTTTGGGAAAAAAGGAAAAATAGTCCAAAGGAGAAAAGCAGATGGTTGAAATTGTGAGGAGAGAGAAATAGAGTACGTGGCATCATGATTTTGGCGACAGCTAATGTGAATACACCCCATCACTTTTTTTTTTTGTGTGCAAAACTATGGAGAGGAATAAATCAAATTTTTTACTAAATGATTTATATCCGTTTAGAAAATGATAGAAAAAATGAAAAAATATGATTCTAGTATAGAAAAGAATAACAACCTTACTGAAAATTTATCTATAATAAAAATTGATTTAAATAACATAAATTTAAAGTAATCAATTTTAAAAAAAAATGATTAACAATCCTAATTTAGCGAAGCTGACATGTGACAAGTCCATTTAGATTGTGATTGCATACTCAATTGATTACTTAATTATTTTATCACACAATTTTAAACATTAAGCATTTCGGTATTTCACTACAAACCTCCCCACATTCACGTGTTTCATATCGTACGTACGTTTGTCTATAGTCTTTATTAACGAGACTAAAACACAATTTATTGTATAAAAATAGAATCGACTCAGCAGTCAAAAATAAAAGTAGGATCGACTCTTTTGTAGAAGTATAATATTGGATTTTTTCTTATTATAAGTGTATAACTGTAATAAGTTCATTTGAAGCATGCATGTTCACTCTAAATTAGGGTATTAGTTGGATTAACTCTTCATAGGATTATTTATAAAAAAAGAAACTCTTCATAGGATGGATATAGAGACACGAAATTTCTCTTTTAGAGTGCATACAAACACTAAGCGATTTGCCCAAAAAAAAAAAAAACAAACAAACACTAAGCGAATGATAGTAATTTACTTTCATAATTCACTATGAAGTTGCAAAAATCCGAAATTTAATTATGTTATCTTAAAGAGAATAAAACACAAATATACACACCCAAATAATTTTTTTTAAACAAATATTTTTGGGATTATAAAGGACACGTATCACGTATGCCAATAGATGAACAGAGGACGGCACCGAATCATTTTGACTTCACCTTTCCTCTTATGTGATAAGCGCGTCTTATCTCTTTCCTATATATACTTCGTACTTCTCTTTTAGGACCCTACGTCTCTCTCTCTCTTTCTCTAGTCTCTGTTTCTTGATTAATCCATCATTACTTTTTTTTTTAATATTGACTCCTTTTGAGTGATAATTAATCAAAACCATGGGAAGATCACCATGTTGCGAGAAGAAGAATGGGCTCAAGAAAGGTCCATGGACTCCTGAAGAAGATCAAAAGCTCATTGATTATATCAACAAAAATGGTTATGGAAATTGGAGAACTCTTCCCAAGAATGCTGGTTCGTGTATACCTTCATTTTTGAACTTCTAATCATACTTTTTATTCATTGCTTCTTTATTAATTAACGATGTTCTTGAATCTTTACTTATAGGGTTACAAAGATGTGGTAAGAGTTGTCGGCTCCGGTGGACAAATTATCTCCGACCAGATATAAAACGAGGAAGATTCTCTTTCGAAGAAGAAGAAACCATTATTCAACTTCACAGCATCATGGGAAACAAGTGAGTTTGGTTTTTCCATTTTCCGACATGTTTTTTTTTTATGCATTAACTTACTATAAATCTTGTAGATCCTGACTTTGTTTGCTTTCTTGATAAACTATGTGTAGGTGGTCTGCAATTGCGGCTAGATTGCCAGGACGAACAGACAACGAGATCAAAAACTATTGGAACACTCACATCAGAAAAAGACTTCTAAAGATGGGAATCGATCCGGTAACACATAGTCCACGTCTTGATCTTCTCGATATCTCCTCCATTCTCAGCTCATCTCTCTACAGCAGCTCTTCACATCATCATCTTCAACAACATATGAACATGTCGAGGCTCATGATGGGTGATGGTCATCATCAGCAATTAGTTAACCCGGAGATACTCAAACTCGCGACCTCTCTCTTTTCAACCTCTCAGCAACATCATCAGAACCAGAACCATACCACACAAGAGAACCAAACCGATATAAACCAATACCAAAGTGGTTACAACATGATTGGTAACCAAGAATTACAATCTTGCTTCCCTAACATGGATCAGTTCGCTGAGTTCCAAGGCTTCGTGCCAACGAAGACAGTCCAAGATTCAATGCCTTCGTACCCATCATACCACGACGATGATTATTCGAAATCTAACTTTGTGTTGGAACCTTATTACTCCGACTTTGCTTCGGTCTTGACCACACCTTCGTCGAGTCCGACTCCACTAAACTCAAATTCTACAAGTTACATCAATAGTAGCACTTGCAGCACCGAGGATGAAAAAGATTATTGCAGTAATAACTTAATGAGTACTTCTGAAATTCCTGATTATTCGTTTGATGTTAATGGTTTTCTGCAATTCCAAGAAACAAAAAAACCATTGGGACAGAGTTATTTAACAAAATATTGTATTCGTTAAATAGATTTTGTTACATATGTAAGATACTATTTTTTTCCATTCTTTATTTAGTACTTTACTCTTGTCAATGCGAAAGCAATCTCTCACCAATAAACAATACATCTCACAGCATTTGTTTAAATGATGGAGTTTCCATTATTGGTAACTACTATTTTGTTTAATATTTTTGGTCGCCTTTTCTTCCACATCAATGCATGGAGATCATACCAGCGATCATATTAAATATGATTTCAAAATACAGTATACATGCATTAGTTTAATATGAGGTGCTGCAATTTTGCTAAAACAGAAAGGAATGTAAATAATTGATAATCAAGATTCAAAACCATTGACTTATTATATGTCTTGTCTCCCTACTAAAGAAAGTATGGTAGTTTAAGAGCCAAAACAGTATAGTAACAAACGATTTGAAATGAAAGATTGACCCTTAATCAATCCAAATATTTCTTCACAAACAAAAAAAATTACAAATAACTCATCATTTAAATAAAAAAGAATACATTAACCAAATAAAAAAATTACTAATTTACTTCAAATAAGAGATCCACTGACCGGAAACTGGCAAAACTGGCCGGCGCGTGCAAGTTTGTCGTTTGTGTACGTGCGGAAAAATCTTTGGGGGTCAAATCACGGGAAAGCAGCTAATGGCCAGGTGCCACGTGTCGAGAAGGCTGCACGTAAGCAAGATTTTGAGGATTCACGGTTTGTAAAAAGAAAAGAGAAGCTCGTTTTTAATTAAAATCACGGTTTGTTATTTTATATATCACTTTTACACGTGTTGGATAGCGAGTCATCTGAGAGTGGGGACGCGTGGGACGAAGCACGTGTAAACACGAACCAATGGGTCCTACCTTTGAAAGTCGGCATTTATTTGTTCTGTCTGACTTCTGACCGCTTGTTCCTGTGGCTATGAACCGGTGCGAATTCAAACGCATTATCCATATTTGTGTTACTTTTTTGGGGAAAAAAACATGGATTATGTTTGTCGATTAATAAAAAACAAAAATTACTTTGAAAAAATATGGTCCAACAATTGAAATATTTAAAAAATTTCGTTGATAATTACAGTTTTGATACCATATTTATTATGATCATCATTTACTGTTTGTGCTGTATATAATTTGTCATTTCCATTTAATCTGCCCAAAGAGTTTCATCCGTTTGTATGCACCACCTATTTTGCTATCACAGTTTAACATAAAATTCAAATTATAATGTTTAAGCAATTTTAAAACCAAAATAGTTATAGTTGCCTTATATCGATCCTATTTATTAAAACCAAAATTAAACAAATTTTCGCTGCTTTTTCTACATTGTCATGTTTGATTAAATCAAAAGGCGAGTTTTGTTTTGCATGGGCGGTGGCAAATGAATTCGTTTAGACTTAAAAGGCAGATCTTGTTTTGCATGATTCAAAAGTTGTTTTCGTTTTTTCATGTCCCTTGCAAAAACACGTTATGTCCTCGTATACACACTTGTGTTTTTGTGTGACCAATTTTTTTTTTCTTTTTCAATATTGGAGTTTCATGTATATATATATGCTTTGCCAAACTAAATTCAAATACTAGGAGTCATCGTTTGTATACAGCTATACCTTTAAGTCAACTAAAATTTATATTCAATATTAAGTTATTAACAATTAGAGAATATTAAAAGCTCTTGATTTCATCTTATATGCTGCATGTTTGCACTATGAAGAAAAGCATACAAAACTTTTTACATTACCTTTTAATAAATAAACCAAACGTGGTCAATAACTTAACATAAAATTCTCATAAAAAGTGCAACCAAAAATAGGATAAGAGTGGCAAGAACAAGAGAAAATCACCCAAAAAACCAAAGACCTATATATTTAAACATAAAACGTATCAAAAGCCATCCTTCTCCTACCTCCATAAGATTCACCGTTTCCATTTGATCACTCACTCAGCATTTTCGCTAGTTTGCTCCCTCCATGCTTGCATCTAGGACTCAAAACCAGCCCTGCCAAGACCATGTTCCCATCCTGGTGGAAGCAAACTTGCCGGTTGACTAGACCAATATCTGTGTAACATCGCGGTAATGTGTTCGTTTCGTAAGGCTCCTCGGTGATGCCTCCAAAAAACGGCGAATTTCGCCTTCCAATTAACCCAATCACCGCATCCATATCTAACGGGAAGCTTAGCTTCGTCCAAGCACCTCTGTTTCCAAAAGTCATCGTGTGAAGCTACATACATCAGTTCTTTACAAACGCAGGCCATCTTCGCAACACTCGCTCCTTGAAGCGACTCTAGTATCTTCATCTTTAGCTTTGTTGGTAGGCGCATCAAACACGGTGGAAGTTCCAAGCCAGACTTCTCGCAGAGACCAATCAACAACGGAGTAACAAGACCATCTTTCACCATTCTCCAGAACATGAAGACCTCGCTCCAAGAGTCTTGTTTGTCAGACTTCAAAGTATCCATCACAGGCACGAGCCTACGCTTAGCAAGAGAAAGCGTATGTCTTTTATACCCACTTAGAGCAACCCCAATGCTAACACCATTAGAAGGGATCTTAATGATTAATTATTAATATTTTGTGTACTTTATGTGTATAAGACACTTTGTAGGATTTTGTTGTTTTTAAGCATACAATGGAGATACTTTGATGGGTGTCTTAAAAAAAATTATATTTAATTTTTTTTTAATAAATTTATGTAAAAAAATTATATGTAAAAATGTATTTGTAAATACATTTTTACGAAGGTAATACATAGAAACATATAAATGATAGAAATGCAATTCAGTGCTTGTTGAGAAGCCTTCTCTCTTGGAATTCCAGTGCTTGTTGCTAAGTCTGAGAGTTCGGATACTTCGGATAACTCGGATCGGATAATTTGGATAGTTTGGATTACTGAAATTCTACCGAAAATAACCGAAATTTAATTCGTTCGGTTCGGTTCGGATAGTTAGGATATTAATTTTTTTATCTGAAACTATCCAAACTAATTTTTTGTTTAAATTAGGTTAAATTCGGTTAATTTCGGGTAGATTCGGGTTATTTCAGGTATTTTTGGATAATTTCAGATATTTTCGGATAGTTCGGATATTCAGTTCGATATAATTTGGTACAATTTGGTATATTTTGGTATAATTTTTTTTTAAAAAATTCGGATAACCGTTCGGTTCAGCAAATCGAACCGAACCGATAACCGATAACCGAACGAGATTTAAAATCTGTTCGATCGGTTTTTTTTTCAATAACCGAACCAGAACCAAAAACCAAAAAATTCAGTTCGGTTAGTTCGGTTTGGTTCGGTTTAAAATCTCATGTCTACTTATTGCAATTAGAGAGAGAGACAAAAAAAAGATTTTGTGTGTTAATTTTTATCGTCCACTCACATGTTAACACCTGTCGGTTCTTAAAACAAAAAAGAGATCCTATATTAGACATTGGTCTTATATATTAGATACTTTTTATAATTTTTTTATTAGACCCCTTAGTGTCACCATTGGAGTTGGTCTTAGGCTCCCGTGAACTAAAACCACATAGTCACAGACTCGATTGTATTGGTATCGTTAACGGTGATTACCTGAGGCAGAGTGTACCTAAGGGATACCGAAAATAACTCTTTTGAGAAGCTAAACTTATCAGAGCCATGATTGTACAGAACAAACCCAGACTCTACCATAGCGGCATGAACTGACGTAGCCAATGTAGTCATCTCACTGGTATCGCCAGATTTCTCAAGCAATATCTTTTTCAAGAAGAACGGTTCGCTTAACCTTTTGCTTCCAGCAGAAGCTACCTCCATCGGCTCTGTACACGAGTTTTCCACGGGGGATACTTTGCCTGAATCTTCATCGGTGGCTGCGAATTCAATACCCATTCGAATAGTGAATAAACGAGGTTGTTGCAGATTCTCTCGATTATGGATGGTGCTCGTATCGGCTAATTCTTAGGGTTTCTCTGGTCTAGATGATGTCTTGAACGTCTGGAAGCGATAATTATAGGTAAATCTGTGGGCTTTTCCCAGACAACAACATCCCTAACTGTATTTTTAATTATAGGTCCCTGTTTTAGGCCTAAAAAAATTGATATTAAAAATAAAATAAAAATTAATTATAAAATTTTGCAATTACATCACTAACATAAGTCTTATTGTTACTCATTATATTATTACCATACTCATAAAACTAATTAAGTTATTTACATTTCAAATAATTTTTATAAAATAGTTTATATATAGATATTATATTTCAAAACCAATGAAATTACTTACATTTCAAAATCATATTTCAAAACCAATTAAGTTATTTAAATCATATTTCCAAGCCGATTAAGTTATTTACATTTCATATAAGTTATTTACTACCTACTTATTTAGTTAAATCTGAAAGCTGATAAAGAGTTAAACGAAGAATGAGTCGTGAACTGAAGTGGAGATGATCTCGTGCAGTACACTGTACACACGAACACCGATTGTTAGTACATACACAAACTTGGATTATTTTAAGTCCTGAATTAACAGTATCTTAACAATATTTCTCTGGTACTAATCGTCACATGTAAACCGATTAGCAGTCTTTTACAAGATACCGTTTTTTTTTCTGTTGAACTTGAAAATTTTAGACACCAATTAGGCAATTAAAGCCAATGGATTATAAATTATGGCTCTTATTGTCAAAAGGTCCAAAACTATATATTTTTTTCGACTTGCCAAAACTATATAATTTTTTTGAAGCTGGACATATCATAAAATTGGATATTTGATAATTATAGAATAATATATGACGAATAATTTGTCTTTTTAGGATATTTGATAATTGCTAATTGTTAAGTATGAAAGGGAAAAGTTTTCAATGATGAGCTGCTTATAGAGAATATTTGCTTCGAATTCAATTTATAGGTTAAAAAGGCTTATATATTTATGATTAAAGATTCGTCCAAAAATGCTAAAAAAAGGAATTAAACAGAGAATGACACCACTTGAAGTAGAGATGATGTAACACTCGCCTTTTATCATTTTAAGACGGCATGTACCCACTTAACTTTCTAACTAAGTTACCACTCTTTCAATTCAAAATCAATACTCTTTCATAAATAGAACTCAAAGTAGTCTTGCAAAGCCGAACTTATACTCAAAATAACCTCAATAGATCCTTAAAAAAAAGAAAAGCCATTTAAAAAAAAAGCTAAGTGTTTTAGGTCTCCAAGATCGAACAAATGAACACTAACACCACCACAATGCGATCACTGCTGCTGCTCCTGCTCACCTGCGAAAGAGAGGAAAGGGACAGGGAGGGGATGAGTAATTTAGATTATCCAGGAGAATACATACATGTGGTCCACCACACATATCACAACCTAAACATGTCGCTAGCCATCAGCTAAACAAACAAGTATTCACAATTATTCAATAATCAACAATCAACAAACAATCATAATAGGTCTAGGTAAGAATTACATCTACCATAACCTCAACAAGCAATCATATCAGGTCTAAGTAGGAACTGCATATACCATAACCTTAACAACCCTACAAGTAGAACTGCATCACTTTCAACTATCGGTATAGGTAGGAACTGCATCTACCATAACCACAAACAATCCGATAAGTGGAACTGCATCACTCACGGCCCTTATGTCTAGGTAGGAACTGCATCTACCGCAACATCAACAATCCGACAAGTGGAACTGCATCACTTTCGGCTCCTAATGCAATTGTGCTCTTAACACTCTATATGCAATGCAACCCACAATTCTCACAAGCAATCAAACATCAAACGACAATCAACAATATTAACCGTGGTCCTAGATCTATGTTCTGAACAAGTAAAAATAAATCAAAGCACATAACAATCAACTACAGGTTACACCATAAGTGCAACCTGCAGGGGAAGGAATCCGCTTATCCTTAACCAGAGACAAGCGCGGAAGATAATACGGAAGGGAAGGCATGGATACATCCTCACCTTTCACAGATTGAATGAACAGCTCAAACAAAAAGGGTTAAGGTTTAGAGATCTAACGACAAGAAGCCAAAAACACAAGGAGACGGCAAGACGACGCAAACGAACGGCAACAGCGGATCCTCTCTCCCTCGGCGGGGGCGGCGTTGGCTGAAGGTTAGGGTTTAGGGTTTCTATCTCTAAGTGCTTTGGGAATTGTGATGACAATTCTGACTCTCTAACTCTCTTTATATAGGGAAGGGGGGAGACTCTAGGGTTAGGGTTTTTATAACCTAAAAGGCTTAACGGGCTTTTGGGCTTCAAACATTAAAGAAAAAAAATAACAGGCCGGTTTAGCGAAACCGGGATGTTACAATTCTCCCCCACTTGAAAGAAATTCGTCCCCGAATTCATGAGACTACTTCTCCCCCACTTGGTTTCCGACCAAACTTTCAAATGGATCTTTCCCAATGGACCTTCTACTTCTAGGGTTCTACTCTATAGGCAAACAAAACTAAGCAACTGCACCACAATGACGGAGATGAACTGAAGATAACTAAAATACTAACTTACTGAGCCTGGAGAGCAGAGTGATGCGGTGAGGTGTGTTCTGTTTTACTTTTGCAAAATCTTCCAACCCCATTTAAAACGTTTTTACTTTGAAAACACAGTCTCCCGGGTCGGAACCGGTTTGACTTGTAACCTAGGCTCTGATACCACTCTGTAACACCCGCCTCTCATCATTTTAAGACGGCATGCCACCCACTTAACTTTCTAACCAAGTTACCACTCTTTCAATTCAAAATCAATACTCTTTCATAAATAGAACTCAAAGTAGTCATGCAAAGCCGAACTTATACTCAAAATAAACTCAATAGATCCTTAAAGAAAAGAAAAGCCATTTAAAAGAAAGCTAAGTGTTTTAGGTCTCCAAGATCGAACAAATGAACACTAACACCACCACAATGCGATCACTGCTGCTGCTCCTGCTCACCTGCGAAAGAGGGGAAAGGGACAGGGAGAGGATGAGTAATTTAGATTACCCAGGAGAATGCATACATGTGGTCCACCACACATATCACAACCTAAACATGTCGCTAGCCATCAGCTAAACGAACAAGTATTCACAACTATTCAATAATCAACAATCAACAATCAACAAACAATCATAATAGGTCTAGGTAGGAACTACATCTACCATAACCTCAACAAGCAATCATATCAGGTCTAAGTAGGAACTGCATCTACCATAACCTTAACAACCCTACAAGTGGAACTGCATCACTTTCAACTATCGGTATAGGTAAGAACTGCATCTACCATAACCACAAACAATCCGATAAGTGGAACTGCATCACTCACGGCCCTTATGTCTAGGTAGGAACTGCATCTACCGCAACATCAACAATCCGGCAAGTGGAACTGCATCACTTTCGGCTCCTAATGCAATTGTGCTCTTAACACTCTATATGCAATACAACCCACAATTCTCACAAGCAATCAAACATCAAACAACAATCAACAATATTAACCGTGGTCCTAGATCTATGTTCTGAACAAGTAAAAGTAAATCAAAGCACACAACAATCAACTACAAGTTACACCATAAGTGCAACCTGCAGGGAAAGGAATCCGCTTATCCTTAACCAGAGACAAGCGCGGAAGATAATACAGAAGGGAAGGCATGGATACATCCTCACCTTTCACGAATTGAATGAACAGCTCAAATAAAAGGGGTTAAGGTTTAGAGATCTAACGACAAGAAGCCAAAAACACAAGGAGACAGCAAGACAACGCAAACGAACGGCGACGGCGGATCCTCTCTCCCTCGGCGGGGGCGGCGTTGGCTGAAGGTTAGGGTTTAGGGTTTCTATCTTTAAGTGCTTTGGAAATTGTGATGACAATTCTGACTCTCTAACTCTCTTTATATAGGGAAGAGAGGAGACTCTAAGGTTAGAGTTTTTATAACCTAATGGGCTTAACGGACTTTTGGACTTCAAACATTAAAAAAAAAAAAATAACAGACCAGTTTAGCGAAACCGGGATGTTACAGATGATCTCGTGTAGTACTACTACACAAGGTTGGTGTTACAATGCAGTACACACGAACACCGATCTTTAGTACATACGTAAACTTGGATTATTCTAAATTTTAATCAAGAATACTTAACAATGTTTTTTTTAAATATATATAACCGCATAAAAAACCAAGACAAACATGTTATCAAATCATAAATTAAGATACAAAAAGAAACTTGGAACCCATAAAAATACAATGTACAAGTACTGAAGTACGGTTCGATCGTATACTCAATAGTACACGCAAGCATTGTACATTTGTACTGCATTTAAACAAAACACACAATGCTCAATTCATTATAAAAATGTCAACGACGGTTGTGTTCATTTCTAAAGCGGTGGAAAAAGAGCTAATCAGATCTTTTAACCTGGGTTTGAATGAACATCATTGAGTGCAGCGTTGATGTAACTTCCTTTTTTTTCCTTCTATTGTTGAATGGATTAAAACAATTTACACCAGCGTTGCGCTCAATTATGTTTTTTCTAATTTTCAGGAACATTTTACAAAAGGTATGTATGATCGTCTGCTTAAAACTCTGTTTATAATATCTTCCATGAGTTAATATATGTTCTTGATGCGTTCTAATACTACGTACTGACTTTAGAATCTCGACCCATAATCTCTTAGTTATTTTTAGAAAATGTTATTGTAATGAATGATTTAATTACGATAATCAAGTTATATAATTGGAAGATTAAGTGGCTTTGATCTCTAATAAGCAAAAGATTATGTTATGTTTATGATTTTTGTTAGCGGATGTTGCTAGAAAATGTCACAATAAGTCAATAAGTAAAATGAACAATTATCCTTTAGAATATTACACGTTAAGCAAATAATAATGCATTTTTTTTCCTTTATGGACGAAAAAGAAAAAAAGAAGAAGATTAATCTCCAATTAAATAAGTGCATTATTGGTTTAGAGAGCGATGATGATGAGTAATCAAAACGCATCTTTCTTACCAATAAGCCATAACCAATCCAAAGCAACTCCTGCAAATATTCCTCCTAACAGAAAGATCACAAGCAAATTCCCTAATGCATTCTGCTCCGGACCCTTTACATAAACAAAACCCAAGTTATATTTTATTTTTGACAAAATCAGAACAAATATGTGATTTTTTTTTTTTTTAAACTCAATGTTTTTTTTTTGTGGTAAAACAAATAATGCATTTTTCTGTAGGAAAATGTTAAAATAGATTTACCTTGTAGCCTTTAGGAGCTGCGGTGAGAATGCAAACAGTGAGATGACCATTAGTCAGTCCTAAAACAGAGATTAGCATAATCATCCATCCCTGATCGCCATATTTCGCGGTGAAGTAGAACGCTGGAACGAGTAAATAACGTGACAAAACCGCAAACGTGAGTACTTTTCTGTTCTCAATCTTGAGCCATTTCACCAGCGGCGTGTACCTCCCGACCAAATCCCAACAGTTGTACATCGCTATTAGGACAAGCGCGTACCACGCGCCTAGCCCGTGCTGTCCCGTGTTCTCGTATAAAAACCCGGGAAAAATGGATAACGTCAAAACGTAGATGAGGGCTAGATTCACTGCGTAGTCTATGTTTTGAATCAATAGCTCTTTGTTGCTTAGCCTTTGATTCTTGGTATCATCACCAGTCTGCACAGATGAATCAAGAAGCTAAACAAAGATTAAGAGAGAATAATCTTTTGATATAAAACAAGAATCAAGGAAGAAGATTCTTGACTTATCAAGAAACCAAGAAATGGAAGATCTTTAAGGAATCTGAAGTTACCAAAACTGATTGATTTTGGATACCAGCAGCAGCAAGATCAGCAGAAACAGTTTTTGATCCTTCAGAAGCGGCTTTTCTTCTATAATACTTAACTATGGGAAGCTTCGGGAACACGTAAGCATAAAGCAACACGCAGAGAAACTCTATGAATGTTGAGATTGCTAAGAATATCACTGCCAAAAATGGAAAAAGCAAAAACAAGAAAATGAAGTTCTTAAACACTTAGGAAGCTCTCCGATTTAAGATTATTCAAAAAATGTTAATATACTCACTTGCTCCTTTCCGTAGACCATCGTTTGAGTTTTCAAATGCTGCTTTAGTTATTAGCCTAAGCGCTGAAGTTAGAGCACCAGCTACAGCCAAACCGCCCATGAATGACTACAAGGAATCAAGAAGATGTATATCTCTTAGCAAAATCTAAGCCGGTTAACCTAAACCGAGTTCTTGAAATGTGTTACAAATTAGTAAACCTGGATGAATTCAGGGCACATCAATGATAAATCACCGATCATTCCTCCTTGAACGGTAGCATCTGAGAGGCCGAAAGAAGCAACGATGGCGCATAAACCGATATAAGGTCCGATTCCACCGTGTCCTTTTGTGGCCAAATCCAACTGTTTTTTTTTTAAAGAGTCTTGAGTCTATAATCAAAATCAAGTTTCATTATGTAAGAGAAAGAAGGCATTAAATTAGAACTTACGACTATTAGCAAGAACGTTGATATTGTGAATAGAATGTAACCAAACAGGTTACGTTTCCGGGTATCGATTTTCGATTCATGGTATGAGAGAACCACGATTGTTCCAAGAGCAAATGGTTGGTATACAAGTGTTAGTACCCTTGAAGGATGATAATCCTACAAAGATTCATAAAAAAGTTTCAACATGAGATTTCACAAACCAATTTCGAATTTGGGAACTGAGCGAACCGAAACAAAAACCGAACCGGGAAAACTGCGTAGTAGTAATCTCCGATAGTGAGCATACTGTTCCAAGCAACGAGAGCTCCGATTCCAAGAATACAGCAAACGACCCTTGCTTGAAACTTCCCCTGTTTTTTTTTTTTGTTAATTCAGACATAAACTAAAAATTTTGGGTTTAATTCAGAAAAAACAATGAATCTTAAAACATGGAGATGAATTACAGAGAGCTCAAAAGAAACATAAAGATTTTGGATCTGAATTCTGGGTTTTGTGGAAACTAACCTGAAGCTTCTCAGGAGCTTGATTCTCATATCTATCCGCCATTTTCAAAATAGTGACAGAGAGCTCAAAAGAACATAGCCCTGTTTCAAGATTCAAGAATTAGATCGAACACAAGATGATGTTTTATTCTATTTGGGTGTGTAATAGCAACAGATCACTTACTTGGAACTTAGCACGTGTTGATTTTCGAGAGTCAATGGTTTTTGTTGATTATATTAGGAGCAAAGCTTTTATGTAGATTCAAAACAAGAATCTTAAAACATGGAGATGAGAGAGTAAAATAAATATAGACTTTAAGGTTTGACAGCGAATTTGAGAGGATAAAATAAGACTCGGAAGAAAGGAAAAAGAAAACAGAATCAAATGATTAAAGAATTCAAAAGAATCCAAAGTATGAATGCTTTTTTTTTTTGGGTGCAAATAATATGAATGTTTTTAAGTTTCTATATTTGATCGACTTGAAGACGGTGTAGACTTTTGTAGTCTGAAAGCAAAAATAGAATATTCATTTAATGATTAATATCCACATATCTTCAATGAAAAGAATTAGTTACATTTTCGTCCACAAAATTATCAAATATTATTCCGTTTTGTCTGACAATGAAAGAAAAAATAAACATATACTCTGTATTGTTTTTTGAGATATTCTTATTGAAGTATCAAATATGTATGTATCTGTTCTTTGTTTTTTTTTTCTTAGAAATATATATCACACAAACTTTGAAGCCTTTAATAAGATTGTAGTATTTTTGGAAAACATATTCATTTTAGTATTTTAGGATATTCGTCGTACATTTTAATGAAAATTTTAAATTGTAGTATTAAAATTACTCAAGTACTGTATCATTTGACTACAATATTTTAATCAAAACCATCACATGTTAACACATTATTATAAATTTTAGAAATAATAATTAATGAGCTGGCCAGATATGGGGCTACACAATAGTCGTAACTCGTATGTGACAAAAAAAAAAAAAAAATGGATTTGAGCATTGGCGAAGTTGGAAAAGTGAAAACACAATTTTTCTTATTTGGTGAGGCATTGAATTATAAGACTCCACCTCAAGATATTTGGTTCGAGCCACCAATTCTCTCATTTGCCGTCATAATAGAATCCATCGTAATTAATTGCACCATAGGACTTTTGATCAGTCTATTTTTCTAAATACATGTTAATAAGGTGATGACATTCATATTTCTCCGTAGAAGATGATGAAATTCATATTTATTACAAATTTTAAAATTATAGAATTACTCAAGTATCATTTGACTACAATGTAATTCTTTTCATTGAAGATATGTGGATATTAATCATTTTTAAAAGTCTGGATTTTGTTCTATAGTATTGAAGATTAATGGTTCGCAATAAATCACCAAATCCTATATACTAATAAAGATGAAGAAATTAAAAATAATTCGTGAAGCAAGATGTATATCTTATAGACCAAATACTATTTCAAATCCGTTGTGAATCATTGCTCATAAGGAACTTTCCTTACCGATAAGCCATAACCAACCTAAACATATCCCTGAAAGTGCTCCTCCTAGTATAAAAGTCACCATCAAATTCCCCAATGCATTCTTCTCCGGACCCTTCACATAATTATACAAAACCAGTGTTTATAATTGTGGTTGTGTTTGTATTTGTAGTTGCAAGAAAAAGAAACAATCAAACCTTGTATCCTTTAGGAGCAATGGTGAGGATGCAAACAGTGAGATGTCCAGTAGTTAATCCCAAAATAGAAATAAGCATAATCATCCATCCTTTATCACCATATTTCGCGGTGAAGTAGAACGCCGGAATGAGTAAATAACGGGCCAAAACCGCAACCGTTAGTGCTTTTCTATTCTCAACCTTTAGCCATTTCACCAGCGGCATGTACCTCCCGACCAAATCCCAAAAATTGTACACAGCTACTAGGACAAGCGCGTACCAAGTGCCTAACCCGTGTTGTCCTGTGTTCTCGTATAAGAACCCGGGGAAAATGGATAACGTCAAAACGTATATAAGGAATAGATTCACTGCATAGTCTACGTTTTGAAGCAATAGCTCTTTTTTTCTTAGCCTTGGATTCTTGGAATCGTCATCAGTCTGCATATATACAAGAATCAAGAATCAAGAATCAAGAAGCTAAACAATGTTTAAGAGGGATGGAATCTTGAAAAAAAAAATCAAGAAATGAGGAATCTTGATGTGAAAGGAAACACAAAAAGGTAAGATTCTTGCATAATCTGGTAAAGAAACCAATAAGGCAAAGATTCTTGACAAATCTTGTAAGAGAAACCAAGAAAGGAAAGACTCTTGAGGAATCAGAAGTTACCAAATCTGATTGATTTTGGATACCAGCAGCAGCAAGATCAGCAGCAACGGTTTTGGATCCTTCAGAAGCGGCTTTTCTTCTATAATACTTAACGATGGGTAGTTTTGGGAACACGTAAGCGTATAGCATCACACAGAGGAATTCTATGAATGTGGAGATTGCCAAGAATATCACTACACAAGGAAAAATAAAGCAAAGCAAGAAATGAATATTTTAAAATACTTCAAAAATATTAAATTTTTCGGATTTAAAATCTCCCAAAAAATGTTAATAAACTCACTTGCTCCTTTTCGTAGACGGTCGTTTGAGTTCTCAAAGGCTGCTTTAGTTATTAGCCTAAGCGCTGAGGTTAGAGCACCAGCTACAGCCAAACCGGCCATGAATGACTACAAAGAAATACATTTAGTAAAAACCGGTTTATCTAAACCAATTTATCGCAATTGAATCTGTAAGAAAATTGATAAACCTGGATAAGTTCAGGGCACATCAAAGATAAATCACCGATCATTCCTCCTTTAACAGTAGCATCCGCGATCCCAAACGAAGCAACGATTGCGCATAAACCGATATATGGTCCGATTCCACCGTGTCCTTTTGTCGTCAAATCCAACTGTTTTTATGAGTATTTTTAGAGTCTTGAGTCCATAATAAACATTCAATTCCATTAGAAAAATTGTTGTAAGATTCGGACTTTGCATTTAAGACTTACGACTATGAGCAAGAATGTGGATACTGTGAATAGAATGTAACCGATGAGGATACGTTTTCGAGTATTGATTTTTGATTCGTGGTATGCAAGAATCACGATTGTTGCAAGTGCAAATGGTTGGTATACAAGTGGTAGAACCCTTGACGGATGATTAGCCTACCAAAAAATATGGCTTCGAAGGGTGACTAACATTTTATTAGAGAACCAAAACAAAACATAAGGTTTCTAGACCAATTTCGAATATGTGAATTGGCCTAACCGAAACAGAAACCGAACCGGGAAAATTTGGTAGTAGTAATCTGCGATAGTGAGCATACTGTTCCAAGAAACAAGAGATCCAATTCCAAGAATACAGCAAACAACTATTGCTTGAAACTTCCCCTGTTTTTTTATTTATTTATTCAGACAAAAACAAGAATCTGAGGGTTAACAATGAAAGATTTTGGATCTGAGTTTTCAGTTTAGTGGAAACTTACCTGACGCTTCTCAGGAGCTTGGTTCTCGTATTTATCCGCCATTTTCAAGTAGTTACAGAAAGCTCAAAAGAACATAATTAACCCTGTTTCAGGATTCAAGAACTGGATCGAACACAAGAAGATGTATTTTTTTTTTCCTTTGGGTGCAAAAGCTTACTTGGAACTTAGCACATGAGGGTTTTGCAGAGTCAACGAGTTGTTGATTTCTTTACGAGCAAATCTTTCATGTAGAATCAAAATAAGATTCTTAAAACAAAAATAATTGTAGGCCTATAAGGTTTGACAGCAATTTTGAGAGGATAAAATAAGACTCAAAAGGTTGGCATACCCTACGGTCTTATATTGGTTTGGCACCTTTTCTTTTACTTCCATTATGTAGTTTCCCTTTACGTCAATTTAATACAATCAGATATTTTTAACGAAAAAAGAAAAAATAATTGTAGGGTGTACCTTTGGGCCGAGTTTCTTAAACTTTCCAACCTTTATCCGATAATTGAAACCTGGTCGCTTAGCCAATGAGGTGGCCGATCCACAACATGCTTAACGGTGAATCTTCGTTGTGAGTTAGAACCCAAAGACTATATTTGACTGTATTATTATAAAAACTAACTAGTATGATACAAAACGGTAAAAAAATAACAGAAAAAAAGAAAATTAAAACGATACCGGAATAATTAAATAGTTGAGAGGTGTGTACCGTTTTGGATCTATCATCTTAGTCCTTCTAGCTGAAAGTGGGATGTTCAGTAAGCAAGAGGTCGATGAGATTGTTCAGATCGGTTATCTCAACGGTCTCTTTGTTCTTGCTCGCTCTATCGGTTTGATCACAAGAGATTGAAATGCAAATCACAGCCATAGATTTGTACAATGTGGCATTGCGGCTTATCACATCTAGCTTACATTACACATTGACTGATTTAACGTAAAAAACGAATATTTGAAACTTAAGAAAATGTCCTACTGTAGAATTAGAAAGATGAAGAATCCTTTTTTAATTTTTTTTTTTCGAGAAAGGGTTTAAGAATACTTAAATGGCTTATAAGTTTAAATGAATAGAGAGATGAAGAATCCTTTCTTTTTTTGAGAAAGGGTTTAAGAATATTATTATTATTTTTATTTTATTTTAACAATAAGCTTATGTTTTTGAATATAAAAAAGGTTATAATTTTTTTTATCTGGTCCACCATTTTCAGTGAACCAAGAGTAATTGAAAATTTAAATTAATCTCACCAGATCAGTTCCATCAAACTAAGCAATCATGAGTAGTTCGAAATTAATTCTTTTGAAATTTGTATCCCACCAAAATCCAACAACATCGCCAGCGTTGAAATTTCTTTTTGCGAGAATTTACTCCACCCATAAAATTTGAAATTTCCATCTAATTCTTTTTTCATGTTAACTGTTGTTGTAATTTTAGATTCATATTCGTATAGATCCACCAGTTTAGTTGATTTTGGTTTTGACAATTTTACACAACATGCTCTACTCCACCAAGGAAAAAAGTTGGCTTCTACTAACCCTTTCGGCATCGTTATCGTATCACTCGAACCCGTGTCTGATGTTGTCAATGTTATCAGAATGTTCCATTGGTTGCTTGGATCAAACGGTTTACCATGATACGGTTCATTTCTTGGCATGTTCTTCTCGACTCTGTTAAGCTCTCTATAGAAAGTTTGTATAGATGAATTTGTTTTATGGGTTAAGTCGTGAAGGATATATATAACAATAAGTTGAATGGCGTGGGTGATTGTAATTAAGAGTTTGTTACTATAATAAGATACAAATTTCTTTCATCAATATCATTAGATTCTTTATAAAAAGGAAAACAAAGATCATTAAATTCACTATTAGTTAAACATTTTGTATTTAACAAACAATTACACTAATGTAAAAACTTAAGTTCGATCTACGAAAAAACTAGGGTTTGTGGGTTTAAAGAGAAGTCTTTTATTAGAAGAAGCCGGAGCTTGAATGAATACACGGGGGTTTAGGTCATCGGAATAAGAACGCCGACCTAAACTTTTATGGAAAGTAAATCGAAAGCTAGAACAATCAGATTACTTAGCTTGCCCTAGGTCTCGATAGATGATTTTTGGATAGATTGAGGAGTCGAGGACTTCCTATATTTATAGCCGATCAGGTCGGTCTTCAACCTGCTTGGAATAGGAAACTCTTGCTGGCAAGGAGTTTCCTTTTTCCCCGGGTTGCTCGATAAATGGAAGATTTTCTTTTATGTTGCCGACCTGGAACTTGTTAAACGGGCCGACCAGAATTCGTATCGGACTTGTTAGAGACGATACGGATCTCATCTCTAACAGTAAGTCCCCCCCCCCCCCCCCCCCCCCCCCCCCTTGGCAAGTGAGGGTACATTACTTGGCGAACTTCATGATGTATTGCTTGGTATGCATTCTAGTCGGCTATAAAAAGAGTCAGAATAAAAATGAAATTATTACCTGGACTTCTGATCGGCACGGTGATGAGGGCTAGATTGTGATTTTGGGCGCGAAAAGTTCCCGCCTAAAAGATGACGTAGGCTAGGCCTAGGTTTGCACATGCAGAACTAGGGTTGACACGTGTCAAACCCTAGCAGGTGAAGGTGAAGAGGCCGATTAAAATTTAACAAGAAGAAATATGGAGAGTCGCCGTGCTCATGATGATTCTCGGTAACCGTCCAGATATTTCTATAAATAAGGAGGACTCGGCTTCAATTTCCTCACTTCTGCATTTCTAGTGAAACTCTGTCAAAATCAGGTTTGCTCTCTCCCCTTTCCCTTGTTCTCTTTTTATTTAGAATTTTAGATCTGCCGACTAGACCTCTGCCGTGTTTCGTTCTGAACGCCGATCGAGCATGGGTAAAAGCATTCAAATCAGGGAAAGACGACCAGGCTCAGAGGAAATCAGATCGGCGCAGAAGAGAGCTGACGACCAGGTCGATAAAAGTCGATCGAAGAGAAAACGGGTCGTCGTTGAGGAATCAGAGTCGGATCGGTCCTCGGATGCGAGCGAGTTATCGGCGTTGGATCGTGCGTTTCAGGAACGCGTTCGAGAGAAGAACCAGCAAGCTGCGGCCGATCGGTTCCACGCCGATCAAGTTGGAATCGTCCAGAGGTCTGGGGAGACATCGTCCAGGGTCGAATTCGAGATTCCTGAATTGCGAGATGAAGACGATGTGAGAGGCAGATCGAACGAGATGGATATCTCGGACGAGCTAAACGCCATCATTGTTGAAGATAAAGTAAATCAGTTTGGAATTATCGACATGAATCCGCCAGTGGAGAAAGTTAAGAGGCGAAAAGGAGAGCCGGCAATTAAGCCGATCTGCGACAACGCTCTCGGGGTGATACCGACCAAATCAACCTTGGAATCACTGGTTACCTTGAAGGAAGAATGCGACATTGGTCCTGAGGTGATCTTCATGGTTCCGAGCCCGTCAGAGCGACCGTGGGATGCTCCTACAGGATGGCTATGTCTCCACGAATGTTTTTTCACGGACTTCCATCTGTGGTTCCCGCTTCCGAGGCTTCTTCTGGAATTTGCTGCCCACAAAGAAATGCCGATCAGCCAGTTTACCCATGCGACGATACGGTTGATTATCAGCATGCTAGTGATGTCGACCAGGCATGATATCCCGTTGAGTCGAGCAGCATTCGATGCTATGACGAGCACTCCTCGTACGAAGGCCAATTTGAGGAACCGGGGTTCATATTATACGAGTATGAAGACTCGATACAACATCGTGATTGGTGGTCACAAAACCAAGGTGGCGGATTGGAGAGATCGGTATTTCTTCGTGCTAATCAACGAATTTTCCATCGCTGACGCAGATAGAGATATCCCGATCAGAACGAAATGGGCGGAGGTCATGGGTAGAGACATGACCGATATGAAATACAGCGTAACTTGTTATTTTTGTTTCTGATCGAATCTCTTTTATTTTACTGGAAACATGCCTCTTCCATTCGTTGACGATCCTCTCGATATCGACGATATCTCCAATCGATTCGCTGCGATCAGCGCGATCACTTGGCCCGAGATCACAGAAGAAAGGATTGCGAGGACAAGAGGTTCGTTTACTTTTTCTAAACCTGCTTTGACATCTGGGGGCTTTCCATTTGATCTGACTCTTTTTTAATTTATTTCTCAGTTGCGCTTGAACGACGCTCCCGACGACGAGAGAAGATGAAGTCTGTCATTTTTAAGGATTTGTCGGCCGATATGGAATCTGCCCTAGTGTCTCCCAGTGTTCGGAATCCAGAGAATCCTGCGGCTAAGGAAGCCGAGCAGGAGGCTCTGAACAAGGTTGAGAGGGATGCAGCTAAGGCTAAAAAATTGGCCGATAAGAAGGCTGCTAAGAGGATTGAGAATGCTCGCAAAGAGACCGAGCAAGGGCAGAGGAGGAATGACGATCAGGGTCATATCATCGTAGGTGGGGCTGAAGGCGGCGAAGGAAGCCCTACGAACCCGAGGAAGCGGAGTTCAGAAGAAATTTCTGAACCGCGGACGTCCAAGAGATCTCATGCTGAGAGACAACTACGTCCGTTCGGGTTTTTCTATGAGTACCGCGGGGATAGCCCAATAGTGCACGATTCGGTGTCCTGCTTAGACTATTTCCTTAAGCTAAGGGATAACCCGGCAGGCCCACCTACTGACCCTCGCGGGTACATTCGCAGTGATGCGATTGCACGTTTTGCGCATGAACAAGCCAAGGTAAAAAATATCCCGAATGCTTTTTTATAGGCCTTCTGTATTTAAAATGTCTGAATGCTGATTTTTTTGGTGAATATAGGCTTTAAGTACGGTGTTGACTGCCGTGAATGAGTATGACGGGACGCGAAGAAGTTCCTGGCCGTGGAAGCTGAAGTGGAGAGTTTTTAAGGAAGCTCTCGAGGCTGAACGGGGAAGAAGGGCCGAGCTGGAAACCGCGCTTCAAAAATCTTCTGAGGAACTCGAGAAGGTTCGCGCCGATGATGCTGAGAAAAGCAAACTGCTCAATCGAGCAGTCAAAGCTATTAAGAAGGAGAGGGCCGACTCGCAAACAAAGTTGGAGGCCGGGCTGAAGGCCGCTTACGAAGAGAAGATTGCCTTTGGGCAAGAAGTGGCGAAGCGTACATCGGTTGCGGTGAACAACCACTATGCGGATTTGGTCAACAAAGTGAAGGAGTTGCTTTCCCGTAAGGAGAAGGCCAATGAGTTGATATCGACCGCGGCTCAGTGGGTCGGAGCTAAAAAGGCGCTTGAGATTGTCCGTAAACAAGGATACAATTTTCCGGCTCTTGTTGAGGAGAACATCGAGGAGCTGATTGCCAAAAGTAAAGCAAATC